CTAGTCTCGCTGAGCGGCTCTTCCAAAACTGGGTGACCCTTAAACCTGGGGAGCCCACTCCCTACCTGCTTATCCACATATCGTCTTGTTGGGTTTTTTTTATTTCTTTTTTTATTTTGTCTTTTTTTTTGTTTGTTTTTTTTTTTAGAAATCTGTCTTTCAGGTTTGCCAGAAGGTAGGCGTTGAGCCCGCTGTGTGTGTGTGTATGTGCGTGTCTGTCCCGTGTCTGCCTCCAACACTAACGGCCCTTTCTGGCCCTTGCACCCTCTCCATCTGCTGACCTGGTCTGTGTGGCCTTCCTCTCCACCATCTTAAAGGGACGGAGACCACTCGGAGTGGACCTTTAGACAGTCTGGGCTCTGAACACTTTGGGCCCCTAAGGGCAAATGGTTTTGAACGTAAGGGGCCTTCCTTGGGTGGGGGTGCACCTGTCCTCCAGCTAGAGGAGACCTTTCCCGGGACTCTCCCTTTAAGATTGTCTCCCCTCACCTGCCCAGGGCTCTGGGCACTGGCACTGGGCTCCTTTTCTGGCCCTTCCCCTCTTGTATGCATGTGCTACAAGGAGGCCCACAGGGGTTAAAATTGCATATGGGATGGACTCACGTGGGGTCCCCTGGGCTTGCTAAGCTTGGGGCTGTGTGACCTTTTCCCTCTGGCCTGTGGGATGGCAGGACTTTAGAGGTACTGCAGGGACATTGGGCTCCCTAGGCTAAAGTGTGACTCTTCTAGGCCCAGGAGCCTTTGCCTCATGAATGAGACACAGCACCCCCTTCTGGCAGCTCCTGCAGGACCAGACCAGCCCAACCCACCATGGCCCAGCAACCTGCTCCCTGCTCCGGCAGCATCTGGATGAGTCATGTCCCTCCTCCAGGATGCTTCCTCCGCATATGGCCTGTGCCTACCAAAGAGCCAGGAGCCGGATAATCCCCCAAGCCCTGGCAGAACGAGGGAGAACCTCATCTTCTTTGAGCCTTCTCCCTCTGGGCCAGCTCCTGGCTCTTTTGGCCTTGGTCTTGTCTTCTCTGCAAGCCTGGCTGGGTCAAATACCAAGACACACCAAGGGCCAGGTCGGGAACACAGGTTGCCAGACAGGCATACTGGTGTCACAGCTAAGGGGAAAACTGGCCAGATGAGGTCTTCAGGGCTCCCAATCTCTGCTCTTCCCCCAGCTCACTGCATGGCTGGAGGGGCCTGCTCTGCAGAGCGGGGAGGGAGCGGCCAAGGCTCCTTCCCTGGCACAGCCAGGCCCTGATCGCAGAGTGCTTGTTGGCATCCGTGTGTCTGTGTGTCTTTATGTCCTTCTATATGTGCTGCTGCTGCTTTCCCTCCTCACATCTGTCCCTCCCTCTGCAGTCCCCAGTTTCCCAACTCCAGGCACCCATCCTCTGGGCAGGAGCTGGAGAAGCCGCTCAGCGGGGCCAGACCTCATCCCTATCTGCCACCCCCAGGCGTGTGCCTGGCCCCAGGCCCTCTCCTGTAGGAGCAAGCCAGCCTGGCAGGCCTGGGGTAGGGGAGTCATAAATGCAGGGAAGAACTGTCCAGTTTGGCTACAGATGCCCAGCACTAGGTGTCCACCATGCAGCTCTAGTTTTCTGCATCCTGGGCCTCCTGAGAGGCCTCTGTGTCTTCCAGCCCAGCCCCTCCACACACACCCCTCCCCCAGGAGACCCTGAAACTTCATTGGGAGGCCTTCCCTCTGAGTCCCAGTGCAGTGTAGAAAGGACCCACACCCAGCCTCCCCAGTAGAGAGAGGAGCCTGGCTGTGGCCTAGAGAGGGTGCTGCTCCCTGGGCTGTGATGGGTCCGTGCCCACACAGCCGTTTCCCTCCCCGTGTTGGGAGTGCTGAGGGGGGACAGGCTCCCTGTTGCAAGGGAGAATTGAGCTGCCAGTATGAGGTGCTGCAGTGTCATACTGGCCTGCAGGAGACAGGCACGTGGCCTTTGGGCTTGGGTCCTGCCCACCCTCTGGTGGCACCTCCCCAGACCAAGTCTCACCTGGGTCTGAGGTGGCGAAAGGAGCGAGGGATCCCAGCACTAAACTCTCCCTCGCTCTGTTTTTTGAGGAACCTGAATGAACCTGAAAGCAAAGACCGAGTGGAGACGCTCAGGTGAGAGGGTCGGAGCCAACACTGGCCCTGCCCAGTCCACCGGGCGAGCCACCAGCCGCCTACTCCTCTCCTCCTCCTCCTGTCACTGGGCTGGTCCTCCCTCTGGTGGTTCTGCCTGCCTCCATCCTGCTGGGGCCTCCCTTGCCTCAGAGAATCCCCCTTTCCCAGACCAGGGCTGTAGACCTGGGCCCTCCCTCAGGTCCTAGACACCCCAGAGGTTGGAGGTCGGAGGTCCGAGGTTGGAGCCCCGGGTCGGTGATGGGGCCCACTGGTTCCTGCCCCGTGGCTGCCACCTCTCCTTTCTGTGCCTGGGCTGCTTTCTGGAGGGACAGCGCTCGCTGGCTGGCTCACTGATGTGGATGAATGCATTTGTTTCTCGCTTGACCCTCCCCACTTAAGGAAAACCGATAGCAGCATGGAACTCTCAGCCCTCCCCCTGCCCCTGCTGGCTCCCCAACCTGGAGAACAAGGGCCGGGCTGGGCTCACACTGCTTCCCCTTCCAGCTCCATGCTCTGCTCCCACTTACTCTCCTTGCTGGCCTCAGGGTCTGCCAGGGTGGCGCTCCAGTGGGTTAGGTGCCTATGCCTACTGCCTGACAGCCACCTTGCCCTCTCCACAGACCTCATGTGGTGGGCGGCGGAGGCAACGACAAAGACAAAGAAGAATTTCGGGAGGCCAAGCCGCGCTCACTGCGTTTTACATGGAGTATGAAGACTACGAGCTCCATGGAGCCCAATGAGATGATGCGGGAGATCCGAAAGGTGCTGGATGCGAACAGCTGTCAGAGCGAGCTGCACGAGAAGTACATGCTGCTGTGCATGCATGGCACACCGGGCCACGAGAACTTCGTGCAGTGGGAGATGGAGGTGTGCAAACTGCCACGGCTCTCACTCAACGGAGTCCGGTTTAAGCGGATATCGGGCACCTCCATGGCCTTCAAGAACATAGCCTCAAAAATAGCCAACGAGCTCAAGCTTTAACAGGCCGCCGGCCCGGGGGTGCCCAAGGTGGCCAGCTGGACTCGCTGCGGAGCCTGGCCGCAGCACCCCCACCCAGTCGAGACTGCAGCGATGGATTGGTGTGTCTCCCTGCTGGCACTTGTCCCCTTCCTGGCCCTTCTCCTTTTTTCTCCCACGTTCGTGGAGGACAGGAGATGGCTCTTTTCCCACCTCACATTTACCCTGGCCCAGAAAGTCCTCCTTCCCCTCTCTCCCACAGGAGGCAAAGGAAGGGGAGGGGGCAAGGGGGGGCAGGGCTCCCCCTCGGTACAGCGGTTGCACAGAGTATTTCGCCTAAACCAAGAAATTTTTTATTACCAAAAAGAAAAAAGAAAAAAAAAAAATCCCAGCGGCCACCTTTCCTCCCTGCCCCATTGGGACAGACGAGACTGGATCTGTGGGGTTTCCCGGGAGGGTGGCTCAGGGCTGGAACACTCTCAGGCAAGAGTGGTGGAGTTCCCTGGCAGGCCCTCCGCCAGGCCCACTTTGGGCTTCTCCCCTTTCCTCCCCTTTTTCCCCTCCCAGCAAACCACCAGAGGTGGCCTTCCCCTGCCCCCAGGTCCCTGGGCTGTGGGCCTGGGGCCAGGGGCCAGGCGGGTGCGCTATGCAGCCCTGGGGAGGGTGGGGCTGCGGCGAGGGCCCTGGCCTCCCTCACACTGTATCCCTGCCCTCCCTTCCCCAGAGCTGGGCATTTCCTTCCACAAGCTGCTGTGGGGACGTTTATTCCCCTCCTCAAAAGTCTGTGCCATCTTCTGGTCCGCCCGCCAGAAGGACCGATCAGGCCTTGGGGTTGGGGGGCTGCAGGGCACATGGGCTCCTCAGCTTGCGGGGCACCGGGACTGCGGTCACCAACCGGGATGCCGGGCCCCTGCGCTCCATTCCGGGAAAGCCTTTGAACGCACAGTCCCCTTGCCGGCCCTTCTCCCCACCGCTTCCCCTTCGTTGGCATTAATCTGGGCACCAGCTCGCACCATAGCAGTGACTTCCCACACCACTCTCATCTCGGCCTTGCCTTTTCTTCCTGACGCTGTCGCCCCTCCTCTCAGGAGACTGCCCAGGGCCTCAAGGCCACCTGGCGGAAGGCTGGATTGGGCGGCAGGGCCGGGAGCATCTGTGCCCCACGGGGGTGGGGGACAGATGGACAAAGTGACTCCCCGCTTGCTAACCTCGCGGCCAGTGTGGGAGTGGGTGGCTATGGGCGCTTGACTGGTGGCGGCCACTGCATCCCTTAATTTATTTCTCTGCTGTTTCAGTTCTTGAGAAATTGGGGGAGGGGGCCCTACAGAAAGGCAGCCCCTGCCCTCCTCGAGTTGTACATTTTTTTGTGATGGGTTTTATTTTTTATTTTATTATTTTATTTTTATTTTTTTTTTTTGATTTATGATGACTCCACCCCTGTTCACCACCCCCAGTCCCAGGCCAGGCTCAGTGGCAAGTGGAGCCCTTGAGTCCCAGGAAGGGGTCCACACCAACCTCAGCCCTCCTGCTCCCTGCTCCAGCTGTGGCTCCGGCTCAGACCAAGGGCTCCCCCTCTCCCCTCCCTGCCCCAAGGGACGGCCTGGGTGCTGAGGGGACCAGGCCCACAGGGCTTGGCTCCTGAAGGGGGTGGGGCCAGGGGCACCCTGGCAAGGTGGCCCCTCCCCACCTGGCCCCTCCTTTCCCGCCCTGCACTTAGTTTCTCTGGATCAAACACGTAATAAAGAGAATGTTTGGAATCTGAGCTTCGGCCTCCTGCTTCTTCTCCCAGCCCCACTGGGACCCAGTCCCCTCAGGCAAGGTGCCCTGCAGCCTGTCTTCTCTCCACACCAGCCACCCAAAGAAGCACCTTCCTCTAGGGCCCAGGAAGTGACCAGGACTGCAAAAGCCAGAACAGAGCAAAGACTGGGCAAACCTAGGAGGTTGCATTTGTTTATTTTTTAAAAACATTGAAAAATAGACCCACGTTTTTATAAGTCCCCTGCCCCCTTTCCTTGCAGCCTGGGGAGGGAGGCAGGTGGGCAGCCTCAGGTCCCCAGCAGGCACCTGGCCTTGAGGACAGACTTCCTGCCACCTCCCCCAGCCCTCCCTCTTCACCCAGGCTTATTGCTAAAAGGAGGGGAAGGGGACCAAGGACAGCAGAGAGTCATCCTCCCAGCCCCACACTAAGGTCACTACCTCCTACATACACAGGGCGAGCCCAAAGGCCAAGCCCGCGCAGACAGGAAGGCAGCCATTCCCGCCAGGAATCCACAGCCCTTGACCGAGGCCCCTGCGGTGCCCCCAGACCGGGCTGTGCTGACCAAAAGCTCTGGGTCTGTTAAAAGACCTGTTGTGAGCCCTTGTGGCTTCTGTCCTCAGGACTAGGAGGCACCCCAGGGTGTCTAGCAGAGGCTCCGCAGCTTTTGGGTGGTGCAGGAGCTCAGGGCTCAGAGTGAGGGGGCAGGAGGCTCCAGGGAGGCTCCAATCAGGGTGGGTGGGGGCTGAGGGCCTGGCCGAGCACTGTGGCGGGAGGCAGCCAGGGCTGGGCGGATGAGAGGTGGCGGGGGCTGGTTGGGGGCCAGCCGTGGCTGCAGGAAGCGACCCTGCTGCAGTGGGGGTGGCTGGCGAAGCAGGGTGGGCGCTGTGGGCAGAGGTGGCCTCAGCAGTGGGGGCGGCTGAGACAGCGAGGTGGGCAGCGGAGGGGGTGGGGGTGCAGGAGGCACCAGTCGAGGCACGGAGGTTGAGACAGAGGTGATCTGGACCTGAAAAGTGAAACAGATAATGGGTACCTGGGTATCCTCAGGCCTTAGGAGTGACGCCGCCTCAGAGGGTTTTGCTCACCCCTCACCTCATCATCTTCCTCTAGAGCTGGGGCTGGCAAGGGAGCCCCTCTCCTAGTCTCCTCCATGGGGACTGGGGCTCCAGGGGCCCCATCCTGCTCAGCCTCCCATTCCTGCAGCACCTCCTCCAGGTTGAAGCGACGCCGGTAGCTCACGAAGAATGTCTTCACCTGGGTCAGAGTCTTATTCCCAATCACCTCTGCAATAGCCCCAAAGTCTTTGCCATATCTACGGATGGCTGCAAGGTCAAAGGGCAGCAGAGTGTGAATGTCCCTCAGAGCTAGTTAATTCCCTGACCCTCTCCCTCTACCTTCTGCTCCATAAAAGGGGCAGAGACACTCCAGGGGTACTCTGTTCTCCCCTGTGGTCTGACCCACCTTGCACAGCCAAAAGCTGCTCATCTGTGGTCCAGCGGGAGTTGAACTTGGTGTTGGCCTAAAGAGCAAGAAATATAAATAACTTTTAGACTTAGAAATACAGCCAGGAAGGGGCTGGAGATTTAGCTCGGCGGCATAAGCGCCTGCCTTGCAAGCAGGCAGTCGTGAGTTCGAGGAAAAAAAAAAAAAGGAAATGCAGCCAGGTCCTGAAGCAGGAGGCCAGCCTGGGCTACACAATGAGTTCAAGGCCAACCTGGACTCCATAGTGAGATGCTGTCTCAAGAAACCAAAAAAGAGCCTCAAATAGAGCTCAGCAGTAGCTTAAGTGCCTATCTGGCAATTGTGAGGTCACGAGTTCGATCCCCAGCACCAAGAATCAAACTCAGGACCCTGTGCTTGCCAGCTAGGCACTTATGCTGCTGGGATATAACCTCAAAATCAAACACAGAAATGGAAACCTAGATCCCCAACCCACTTCTGCACCCAACCTGCAGATCAGCCTTACCTCAGGGGGGCGCAGTGGGTCTATGCCGCCCTCCAGGGCTTGCCGGAGGCTGCTGTTGGTCTGCTTCATGCTCTGCACCTGGGGAGGGAGGATCGACTTTCACCCCGGGCACCCCTTCCCCAACAAAGCTCTCGCACACCACCATCCAACCACTCAGTAGGTAGGAAAGACTGCTTTTTTAAAAGATCCAGAAAAGAACACCAGCCCTAGAGATGGGTCCAGACCAGACTTGGCACCTGTATCCACTCCCTTACTACTACACACACTTTCCTAGGGTAACCCACTCGGGACCCCTTCTGTCTCTCTTCAGACAGAAGCTTTGTTTCTCTCAATAAATATAGTCTGCTCTTAAAAAAAAAAAAAAAAAAAACTTTCCTAGGAGCTGACAGCCCACACTGCACACCCCCTCTTGTCTGGGGGCCCCACCTGGCGCTTAAGAGAGATGAGCTGGGAGTCAAGACCACGGAGAGTGAGGTTGGCAAGATCCGGGCTTCCTGACACCGCAGTGAGACCCTCAGGGCTCAGGTACATGCCCTTGGGTGGACGTCGCCGAGTTCTCAGGGGGTGGTGGCGATACTGAGACACCTGGACCTCTTTCTTCCCTGGGCCTGGGCGTGCATTCAGGGGCCGAGAGGGCAGAGGCTGCAGGAAAGGGGTGAGGGGGTGGATGGTGCCAGCCCAAGGATGGGCAGCTGCCCAGGTAGAGCCAGTGCCACTCAGCACCTCACCTCTCTCTTGGGGTCTCCGGCATCTGGCTCTCCCTCACTCACGGCTCCTCGCCCCTCTTCAAGCTCATCGCTGCTGACACAGGGGCCAGGGAGGGAATAAGGCAAGGACAGGCTAGGAACACTGCCTGTCCCCACCCAGCTCTGGCTTGTGCCCCTACCTGTCCTCCTTGTCCTTGCGGCCACCTAGGCGCCGTGCCTGCCTGTCCATCACACTGGTCCGGCTGCGGGTCTTCTTCCAGGAGTAGTAATACTTTACCAGGCTGGGAATCAGCTTGTCTGGCAGCTAGGGAGGCAACAGCAGGGTCACAGGAGCCCACCCAAGACTCCAAGCCCCCTGCAGCTGGCAGGACAGAGGGGCCGAGGAGCTCTGGGGGGCTGCATCAGGGCCTCACCATCTGCTGGATCCGCTGGAAGCACTTGCCGTGGAAGCCAAAGGCCTGCTCAAACAACACCTTGTCCTCCACAGTCCACTCGTCAGGGAAAGGGGTGAAGTTGGCCAGGTCAGCCAGGGATTTCTCCACATCGTGCTTATGCCAGAGAAGCATGCCCAGTGCCTGGCCAGGCACAGAAGGCAGCTCAGGCTCTGCCACCCCAGCACCATCCCAGCCCTACCTCCAAGCGCCCACGCAGCCCCAACTCACCTGCTCAATGTTGTAGCCGTGCTTCTCCTTGGCCATTGCAATGTACTTATCAACTGCAGGGGGAGAAGCGAGTCTTGGACAGGGGTTAGGGCTCCTAACCCAGACCTGCCAGTGGTAACCCCCGGGTGCAAACCCCCTGCTGATCCTTCTCTCTTTCTTTTTAAGAGTAGGAAAATTTACTGGAGAAAAGGAATAGGGAATAGCTCCTCCTAATGGGTTGCCTCTTATTTTTCACCCTTTTGGGGGGGATCTTTGAGAGACAGGGTTTCATTATGCAGTTTAGGCTGCCTTGGCCCACTTTGTAGCCCGGGCTGCTCTTGAACTCACAACACCAATCCTCCTGCCTCAGCCTCACCAAGTGCTGGGATTATAGGCGTGCACCGCCACACCCAGCTTCTTCCTATTTATTTTTTAAGTGATAGGGTCTCAAGTTGCCCAGGCTGTTCTCAAACTCCTAGGTTTAAAGGATCCCCCATCCTCAGTCTCCCAAGTAGCTAGCAAGACAGGTGTGTACTTCTGAGAAGGGCTGTCTAGGGAGGAAAGGAAGCCAAACCCCCACCCCACCCAGGGCCGAGCCTGAACCCGGAGCCTGCCCACTCACGCTTGGCGTCTGACACACAGTGGTTGGGTGACCACACCAGCATCCCCTTCAGCTCCTTGTTACTGTAGCGCGCTGGGCTCTCTAAAGACCAAACACGGTGAGGGACGAACTCAGGTCAGCCTGGAGGCAACAGCCTGGACCCAAGGCCAGAGGGCAGCAGAGGAGTGGGGCTTGGGAGGTGAGGCCCATAAGGGAAGGAGGGGCAGAGATCCAGACACAGTAGGAAAAGTAACCCTGCCACGACCATGAGGCCACCCACCTCGCCTGCCCGCCTGTCCTTCGAGCAGGAGCCGGCCAAGGGCTCCCCAGGTGGGGCTGCAGGCCAAGCCATCGGCCTCCACCCCTCCCTTCACCGCCTGCTCTGCCACTCACCAGGCTTGCACTCTGGAATTACGGCCTGGTAATTGGTTCCAACGCGGATCATGCTGTCTGCGGAGCCAGGAGGCAGTCAGGACTCCAGGGAGGGAGGGAGGCCAGGGGGATGGGGGGTGGCCTGGACTCCCTCTTGACCGACCATCAAGGCCCCCCACCTTCCACGAGGCTCACTTTCACCGATCTTCCCTGTTTACCCTCTGCCCCAGAGGGACTGGAAGAGGGAGCGACCCTGTCTGATCGTGACCGGGGCAGGGGGGCGGGAGTGACAGGAGCACAGTTTTAAAGCCCAGGCCAAAGAAGAGCGCTTTGTTCTGGCTGAGGGTGAGGGCGCTGAGGGCAGCACCTAGACCAGGACCAAATCCCGCAGGGAACCCTGCTGGACTCCTCCCCACCACAGGAGTCTCGGGCTCCGTGTGGAGATGGCTTTTCAGCCCCTACCCTCGCCAGACCTCAGTCACCTGAAGCTGGCAAGGTATGCGGGACCCAATCTGAAAAGGAGACACGCCTAGGTGCCTCCGCTACCAGGGACAGGGCGGGGGCGGGCAGGACCGCCTCCACCGCAGCAAGGGGCCCAGGCGGTGGCCCCAGGATCGAAGGAGCAGCGAGGCAGAGGCTGCGATCCAGAACGGGCAGGCACCATCAGTGTAAGAGGCCCATGGTCTACCGCTTTTCGCTGTTCCCCGCCCCACGCCGCGACCCGGGCCGGCGCGCCCGCAACCCTAGACCGCCGGGCTCACCGTGCGAGTGCTCCTCCTCACTGCTGTCATCCTCAGAGGGCGGCTGGCCGCCGTTGGGCGCCGTCTTGGCCCGGCTGCGGGACAGGATCCCGGAGCCCGCACTCGGCTTCTCCATCACCGCAGGCATTACCCTGCCCGGCTGCCCCGGGGGTGCGCGGGGGCCCGCGGAGAGCGACGGCGGAGTCCGCGTTCGCCTCGACTGCCTTCCCCGGCCCGACCTGGAGAGGTCGCCACTGAGGCTACCAGAGGCCGGAGGTCAGCGTGGCTGGGGTCTGGCGGGGCTGGAGCCTAGAGGGCAGCCCCTGCACTCCCCGCCACCCTCCCGGGCGAGGGCGTCGGAAAAGTTTGTGCAGAAGAGGGGTACGCGGGGGATGAGCGCGAGGTCCAGCGTGGCTGGGGCAGGCTCGCTCTGTGCGACCCTAGGGCTAGGGGCTCCCCCGGAGAAGTGGGAGGCGCCCTGCCCTCGGGGCGCCCAGAAGCCTCGCCGCCCGCGTGCCCACACCGTTCAGGAGCGAGGGCTGCAGCGCAGTTTGCGCCCCCGCAGGATCTGCGCCTCTCGGAGGCGCCGGGGATGCCCCAGTGCCGGGGCTTGAGACCCTTGTCCCCGCCGAACCCCTTCCCGCTACGGCACCCGGCGGCGGCAGGACGGCGCGCACGGCGCCAGGGTAGAGTTGCTGGGAGCGGGCGGAGCGCAACCGCGGGCGCCGCCTCGCACCCTCCCCGGCGCGCTCGCTCTCTCCGCCGCGCTCGCGCTGCCGCCTGCCCGCCCGCTCCCGCCGCCGCTCGCTCCTCGCGCACACAATGAAGCTGCTGGCAGGGAAGTAGTGCCGGCTGCGGCCTCAGCACCCCTCCCCCAGCCGATGCCTCCGCCAGCTGAACATCTGGCCCTGGGGTGGGAGGGAGGGCCCGGGGCGGGGCCTGGGCCCGGGGCTGGACCTCCAGGGGGTGGGGTCAGGACCCGGGCGGGGAGCGCGGCCCTCTGCGCGGCCCCCCTCGCGTTCCCGGACGCCCGGGCTTGTCCTTGGAGAGATCCCACTGCACCCGAGGGGCTCAGCTGGGGGCTCAGCTCCTCCCACGCACACCTCGGTCCGACACACCAGTGGGCTTGGGTTCCTGCCCCGGGGGCCCAGAGGCCGCCCGCCTGCCCGGGTGGAGCTCGGCTTTTCCTTCCATTTCCCGTCCTGCCAAGGAACTCCCCGCCCCCCTTCCGCAAGGGGGACCCCCCCTTCGGGCGCCCTTGGGGGCCAGAGCGGATGGGAGGCCGGACAGGCGAGGAATGAATTCCTCCAAGGGCTACTGGGCCAGAGTCTAGCTTCTGATGGACCCATGGGTCCCAGAGGTCACCCCAATTCCCTTTAACTGCTGCAGTCTGCACCCCAGAGCGGTTGCCCCGAGGGCCGAGGGATGGGAGTGGGAGGTCCGCAGGAAGGTCTGAGCTAAAGGGTCACTCCTTCCCTGGGTCCCCTGTCACCCCAGCTGGAAGCACCGGCGAGTGACAGACAGGGAAGCGGGTAGGAAGGCGCAGACGGAGATGGGGGAGGAGGTGGGCAGAGACTTTCCAAGCCAGACCCAGCTACCCTGCCAGGCGCACAAAGAGCCCGCGCGCTCACCGGCGCCCGGGGCACGTGCTGCGGCGCACGCACGGAGCCCCCGCCCGCGCCCTCCCACCCGGACCTCCGGGCACACCCGCTGTGCCCAGGCCGAGCCGCTCCCGCGCTCCTTTCCTTTCCCGTCCTCGGCCGCTCTGTAATCAGATCCCTAAATTTAGCAGCAGCCCGGGACCCTGCCAGGGGTCCCCGCCCCCATCCCTGCCTGTGGCCGACCGGCCGGGGTCCTGCGGTCCGGCCACAACCCGACTGAGGCCGCCTGTCCCTGGGGGCTCTCTGCGGGCACCCTGGCCCAGTCAGGCACGACCCCACCCTGCTACTGCGCTGTCTGGCCCCGGAGGCCACCCAGCCAGCGGCCACGTTGCCCGCCACACCTTGGGCCAAGGACTACAGGGACGTTTTCCACTTCTTAAATCACAGATCAGATCGGGCACCGAGCCCCGAGGTGAGAAGGTCCCACAAAGGAGGTGAAGGAATGGACCAATGGACCAAGGGGCACTGTGGGCTGAAGGGTCTGCCCCAGAGGAACAGCGCCTTCCCGGGCTGGCCCCTCTGGAGTGGCAGGGTGCCATCCCGGAGCCCAGGGCCTCCACCCTTTGAGAGGCTCTCATCTCTGTCCCCTTCAGCTTGGCAGGCAACCATTGTGCACACCGCCCTCTCCTCCCAAGGCGTCTTTCATCTTTCGGGCTGCCTCCCACCAGGCAGCGCCCCAGCGGGGGTCCCCTACCCAGCTCGCCCAACCCCTCGCCCCACCCCAGGCCTCGGCCTCAGCATCACACCTATTTCTTGCCTTCCTCTTCCAGTGATGCCCCAGGTACTCTCTTCTCCCACCCCCTAGCCAGGATCCAGGCCAAAGCGCCCCTCTAGCCCAGCCCCCCCCATACCGCTGCCACTCCCCCCCCCCCCGTCTTCTCTGCAGATAGAGGAAGAGCCCCTCTGGAGGTGGGGGTAGGGAGGGGTTCATTCCTTGGAATGGAGGGGTCTCTAAGCCCTAATACGGGGAGGCTTCTGCCAGGGAGGTGGGGCACTATGCGGCAGGGGCAGGGTGAGAGTTTGGGGGCGATAGTGGGAACCATAGGGTCTCTGGAGAAAGTGCATGCCTCCTGCGCAATCTCCCCCCAAGGGGCAAGGGTGCAGGGTTAGGAGGGGGAGGGGCAAGCCCCCACCCCTCCCACCTGCTGCAGCCGCCCCCTCCCCAGCTGGCCCCCTCTTTTGTGCAAAGGCACACAAAGGACAAGGGGCCCCGGCCAGCCTGGCCATCTGCTCCCAGCAGCCTGAAGGCTCTTAAAGAGACAGCACCCCCTCCCTGCTGCCCAGGGCCGTGGGTGCGGCTGTGCCACAGGCCCAGGTCACAGTCTACCCTAGGTCCCACCCACCTTCCTCTGCTCTTCACCCCCCCACACCAGAAATCATCCTCCCCCAAGGGCTGGGGTGTAGAGGTGCCACGTGGTCAGAAACCTGGGGTGGGAGTGGAGGAGAAGGCAGCCCAGAAGCCCGCCCTCCTCTCCACCCTGGGTGGGGGAAGGGGCCAAGGACTCAGGTCCCTTACCTCCCTGAGGCCACCTGCAAGCTGAGTAGGGGCCGCAGGTCTCCCGGGAAGGTCCTCCCTGCTATTTTGGCTCTGGAGTCCTCATCCTTCCCCCAGGAGGGAGACAACAGCGCCTTCTTTTTGAAGACTGCAAGCCAGCATGCAGGCTGCCTCAAATCGAGCCCAAGCCCACAACCAGGCCGCTCCTCCAGATGAGGAGACTGAGCCTCCCGGCCCTCACACAGCCCTCTGCCCGAAGCTTTCTTTTGCCTAGGCCAAAAAAAAGCCCCTGGCTCCTCACATCCTGAGACGCCAGCCCTGGCCAGCCCAGGACTTGGCGATTCGCCACACAGCTTGCAGACACAAATGCACTTGATCTGTGTGATGGTGTCTCCGCGTGCAGGGCTGTGGTCTCAGGCAAGGCAAACAGTAGGCGCTCAGCATATGTGGAAGGAATAAAGTCATACGGAGCCTTTCCTTCCCACCAGCCCCATATCCTGCCTGCTGGGCACCTGGACTTCCTCCTCAAGGTGAGGCAGGGAGCACAAAGGTTACACAGGGATGCTGGAAAAGAAAAGCTGGGTGACCTTGGGTGAGCCACCCGGCCTCCCCTCCTCCCAAAGGCGGGGGCAGCTCAAGCCAATCCCCTGCCCGCCAGCCCTGCCAGACAGACTGGGACTGTCCTGAGTGAGCCGCGAGGTTGGCCACATTGGTGTGGTGCCTGGGACCCCGGCCAGGCCCTTGGTGGCCACGGCCCAGGGGCTAAGCTGGGGAGAGAAGGAAAGAAGAAGGGAGACCTGCGGTGGAGGAGGAAGGCTGGCGGCAGGGCCTGGGCAGAAACCTGGCTGAGCAAGTGGGGGGCAATGGAGGTGCTTCCAGCAGGAGTGGGAGGTGAAGCCCACGGAAGGCGCGCTGGAAAGCCAAAGGAAATGGAGGCAGCAGCTGGGTGGAAGGGGCCTGGGACTCTCCTACCGCTGCCGGCCGCAGCGCTGTGCTGACACCGCCCTGCCCGAGCACCCACGGGGCCCTATGAGCGGCAGTGTGGCCCAGGGTGCTACCCTTCGGTCTCTGGGTCCACCCCACCTCCGTCGCACTCGCACGCACACAAACAGCTTGGGAAGAGGCTGAGAGGTGACAGAGGTGGCGATCTGGCGCTTGGCACCGGCTCAGCCCCGCTGCTGCAGAAGGCGAGGCGCGCTGCCGGGAGTGGCCTCGTGGGAGGAGGAGCGGGGCGGGGGCACGCGGCCCGCGGCCCGCCCGGAGACCCGGCTTCCTTACACCCACGCCGCCTGGGAAATCTGACTCCTGCGCCAGGCAGGAACTGGGAAGGAAGGGTTCGCGAGGGCTCTGTTGACAGAGACGGGGAGGGGACAGGGGCCTCCCTGGACTCCATGAGGGGGCAGCCTCGGACCCCGGAGCCTGCGGGTTTCTCCCCACCTTACCCTCACCTGGGCAGCCGCTGCGCCCTCTGGCGGTGACATCCGGCGTCAGAGGGGTCCCATTTTAGTCTGGGCGCAAATGTTCTTTGGGGAGGCTGAGCCACGCACCCCGAGAAGCTGAAGCTGACCCCCTGGGCCATTGGAGCCACTAGCCTTGGACCCTCCTCCTGAGCAATGTCACATGATCAGAGGCCCCTGGGAACACGACAGGGGAGAGATAGGAATAGAGGGACATGCAGGACAAAGGCAGCCAGGGAACTCAACTAGCGTGAGTCTCAGCTCTGGGGTGAGGTCTTTTTTTTTTTTTTTTTTTTTGTCTTTTTGAGACAGGGTCTCTTTGTGCAGTTCAGGCTGGCCTTGAGCTCACTTTTGTAGCCTAGGCTGGTCTCGAACTCACAACAATCCTCCTGCCTCAGCCTCCGGAATGCTGGGACCACCACGCCCGGCTGGAGTGAGGTTTTAGCCTTTCTGAGCCTCACTCTCTCCATCTCTGAAAGGGAATGATAATAGTCGTGCATACACTTGTAATCTCAGCACTTGGGAAGCCGAGGCAGGAGAATCGCTACATAGTAAGTCCAAGCCAGCCTGAACTACATAGCAAGACCCTGTCTCAAAAAATAAAAAAGAAAGAAAAAATAATCCTGACCTCATCAGTCACTAGGAGGATCCAGTGACATCTCTGATGGAATGTGGTGAGAACATCCATCTAAATCAAGTGTGATTGCACATGCCTGTGATTCCAGCACTTAGGAGGCTGAGGCAGGGGGATTGCCCTGAGTTCAAGGACAGCCCAGGCTACAGGAAGTGAGTTCAAAACCAACCTGAACTATATAGCACGACCCTGTTTCAAACAATGCTATAAACACTAGCTTCCTTCTGAAGCGAGGATCTCCCCTTGAGCATCCCCAGTAAGCCCCCTGTGTCCGTGGCTTACAGCTACACAGGGCCACTCAAACCCTAGTGCCATCCACTGCATCTGGCTGTTCCTCCACCAAACTGGACAGTTGACAGCCTCCTTTTTGCCAAGAGTTCCAGATTCCTACCTCTGACTGACCCCTCTGATCCATTAGGTACCCATAGCTTAATAGTGATTAAAAAAATAATAATACAGGGGCTGGGAGTATAGCTCAGTAGGGCAGCACCTGCCTGGCAAGTGCAAGGTCCTGAGTTCGATTCCTAGTACCCCCCCCAAAAAAGGATGAGAGTATTATAAACTTATAGAAAAGATACAGATTTTTGAGAGGGACAGTCCTTGGGATTGAACCCAGATTCTTCACACTGAGCTACATCCCTTGCCCTTTTTTGTATAATTTGAGACAAGGTCTCCTTAAATTCCTGAGGCACAGTTTGAACTTGTGACCCTCTTGCCTCAGCCTCCCTAGTGCTGGGATTACAGGTGTGTGCCACCACGCCTAGCTCAACATAGATTCTTCAGTCCTGCTGTGAGCATGCCCCACTCCAGCTCTGCGTAACCTTTCACAGTGCCATTGATTTCCAGGCAAAGCTCTCCAGCCCAGTACTCAAGGGCTCTCTAAGTTGGGCATGCGATGCACACCTGTAATCTCAGCACTCAAAAAGCTGAGGCAGGAGGATCATCAAGAGCTCAAGCCAGCCTGGGCTACATAATGTGTTTAAGGTCCTTCTGGAGAACATAGGAAGACCCTGTCCCAAAGAAAAAGGGTGTGGGGGTGCTCATTTGTGTCTCATCCAGTTGGACAGGTCTTTTTGCCTTCCACAGCCCCGTGTGGTGCCCCAGGATGCTCTACCCTCTCCTGCCCCCCATCCACACAGCCTGTGCCTAGGATCCCCAGTTCTGCAAATCAGCTCTGCTCTGCCAGGGAACAGGGCCCAGGCCGGGCAGTGGCGCCCTTCCCACTTCCCTCTGCAGTCCTCTCCCGCTGGCCCCACCAGGAACCCCCCTGACTGCGCTTCACCCATGGACCCAGCCCTGCCCTTGCCCCCTGGGGGAGAGTTTGGTCCGCTGCAGGACCAACCTCACCCTCGGGCTCAGCCTGCTCCCCCTTGCACCCCATTTGCCCCTCCTCTTTTGGAATCATCTTTCCCCTCCGGGAAGATCCTGCCCTAGCCCCTCCACCCTAATGCGCAGGCCCCGCACCCCTCCCTCTAGCCTGTGCTCACCTTAGCTACCCATTTCACTAAAGTGCCTCCCCTCATTTGGGCGGCTTGGGGATTTTTTTGTTTGTTTTTGTTTTTGTGTTTTTGAGACAGTGTCTCCCGCTAGGCAGCTCAGGCTGGCCTTGAGCTTACTTTGTAGGCCAGGTTGGTCTTGAATTTGCAGTGTGCCTCCTGCCTCAGCCTCCTAAATCCTGGGATTACAGCCATGTGCCACCTTGTCCAGCTGGTTTTGTTTTTGTTTTTGTTTTGAGGCTAGGTCTGGTTATGCAGTTCAAGTGGCCTTGAGTTTGCATTGATCTCCTTTCTGCCTCTGCCTCTCCAGTGCTAGGATTCCAGCCATGGGCCACCACGCCAGCCCCACCTCAGCCTGTGCCACTCCACAGAACCCATTCCTGCCAAGCTGAACCAGGATTCTGTTACCTATAAACCCAAAGGCCTCCAGGTGGGTACGGACCCTGCCTCTGGCCAGAACTAGACCCCCGCCCCTCCTGGCTGGCATCTAAGCTCTTGGTATTGGTCCTTTGGACTCTGTCCACATCCTTCAATTCCCCAATAGCAATCTCTGTATTAGGGGTCCCCCATTCTAGAGCCCAGCTCAGAACTCCAACCCCAGCTCCTGGATCCCCACATCCAACCAAATATCTTCCAGACTTGATTTCTGTCACTGAGGTTTGTCCAAAACTGATCCCAGAATCTGGGCCCTCCTGCACCCCCCAGCCTGTCCCTTTTCCTACTCCCAGCCCAGACTCAGTGTAGGAAGTGGGGTCACCCTCCAGCTCTCCCTTGCCCTCACTTCCTGACCACAGACTCCAGCCCATCAGTCAGCGTCTTCCTCACGTTGCCTGCCTCAGTCCTGAAATAGCCCCAAAGCTGACCTCGATGCCTCCTCCTTTACCCTCCTCTAATCTGCTATTTATCCCACAGCCAGGGTGATCTTTTAAAAACCCAATCTGGGGGCTGGGGATTTAGCTCAGTGGCATAAGCGCCTGCCTTGCAAGCAGGCAGTCGTGAGTTCGATCCCTGGTACCGATAAAAAATGAAAAAGACAAAAAAAAAAAAAAATCTGATCAAGTCAGTCCTCTGCTTCTCTTTATCCTGGGATTAAATCCCAGCTCCTTAGCATGACTTATCACCTTCAAAAACCTGTCCCTTAGCGTCCATTTCCCCTTCTCCTTTCTTGGGGATCCATGTGGTGCTGTGGGCTTGATCCTACCCCAGTTTTCGCCTCCTCCAGAGTGCTGGACCCTATGATTAGCTTGGAAGGGGCCTCCTGACTTGAGCTGGCCCAGCCAGCTTGCTGCAAATATGGCAGAGAGACCAGGAAACTGAGCCCAGTACCACTGGCTGCCATCTCCCATCCTGCACTGCAGGAAAGCCAGCACTGCAGAGGACACATGACAGGTGGGAAAAATGAACGGAGCTGGTTGACTGGTTTCTCAGCCACAGAGCCCTGGTCCAACCTCACCTGAAGCCACAGAACCAGTGAATTTTTAGCCCCTTACTGCTTCAGCCTGGCTCCTTGCTGTTTATTTTTTTCGATACAGGGGATCCAACTCACAACTGTGCACTTGCAAGGCAGGAGCTTATGCTTATGCCTCTGAGCTAAATCTCTAGCCCCATTATTTGTTTGTTTATTTTGAGACAGAGTCTTGCTAGGTCTCCAAGGCTGTCCAGCTTGACCTCAAGGTGATGAGGTTACAGATGTGTGCCACTACGCTGGGCTCCTAATTTCCATTTATTTTCTGTGCCTTGAAACTACAGCCTCTGGTACAATCCACTTGTCAACCCCTTTGGACCTGTGATTCCTGGTAGCTGGAGTTTGGCTCTTTCTTTTCTGGTTTCCAGCCTGGTTGGCTTTTTGTTTCATTTTGTTTTGCTTTTTTAAGATAGGTATTGTAGGGGCTGGGGATTTAGCTCAGCGGCATAAGCGCCTGCCTTGCAAGCAGGCAGTCATGAGTTCGATCCCCGGTACCAATAAAAATGAAAAAGACAAAAAAAAAAAAAGATAGGTATTGTAATTCCAAATGCTGTGTATAGTCAGCCAAGTATCATAACCCCTTTTTCAGTGTTCCTCACAATCCAAAAAGTTATATTTGTAATCCCATTGAGACAGTATTGGAATCCCAGCAAGTTAATTCCAGTCTACCACCATCAATGCAACCCACATCGAGAGTAAAGACACCAAGATATATTCCTAGTTAAGGGCAGCCAAGGGGTCCTAAATCCAATCCCTGTGAAGATGTTTGGACAAAGGCCCTGATCCTAGGCTCTCCCAGAATTTATTATCTTGTGAAGAAGGGTAGCTCAGGGATGAGTGACAGTGAGGATGGCAGGAATTACCTGAGTAACTTGAGCTGGCTGGCCAGGTGGGGAGAAAAGCATCTCTGCAAAATGCAGAGACAAGGATATGCAGAAGGATCAATTGGCATAATTCAATGGAGGTAGCAACTGAATTGTTTTAGGAGGCTGTTGCTTCAGTTTCTGACGTGTAAACTTTTGTGCCCTGGGGAGTCATGGCCTCTTTACCTTGAGGCTCTTACCCAGTTGACATTCCCAGAGCTGATGGCTCTACCATCCCTTTGTGCTCATATCTTTTACAGAGAGCACTATTCAAGGAAACAGGAAACAGTCTGATGGCTTTGAAGATTACATATTTGCACCTCAGCTAGCATTATTTGCAATTCTTAGAGCCAACTGAAGAGAGAAGGAAATACCATAGCCAGCTCTGTACATAGCAGTATAGGGAGATCAGTCTCCATATAATCAAAGGTGCAGCAGTTGTTCTGCATTCAAGAGGAGCCACTGGAGTTGTATCCCACAACAGAATCCTGCTTTGTAGTTCAACCTGGCTTTGAACTCGCTATGTATGTAGCCCAGGCTGGCCTTGAACTCACAGTGATCCTCCTGCCTCAGCAGCCCTAGTGCTGAGATTACAGGCCTGTGCCACGACGCCAGGCCCTCCTGGCCAGTTCTTACTTGCCTTTCAAAACCTAGAGTTGGAAGTCAGGCATGCACTACTGTAATCTCAGCACTCAGGAGGCTGAATCAAGAGAATCTCTGTGAGTTCAAGGCCAACCTGGACTACAAAGTGAGTGCAGGGCCAGCCTGCATTGTACATGGAGACCCCATCTCATCACCTCATCTAGGATGCCTGCGGCTCTTCCCCCATCTCTTTGCTGACCACAGCCTAATGTAACCACTCCCTGCTTACCTGGCCACCTCCAAGGGGATGGGCTGAGAGAGCCGTCTCACCTGATCAGCCCCAGCTCAGGAATGGTTCCACAGAAAATGGCGCACAGTAAGTACTCACCTAAGGCTGCCGGCAGTATCTCAGCACCACCTTCCCGGAAGGCCCTGGAAGGCCCTACCTGTCCCCCTCACCACCACCCAGCCCCTCACCTCACAGATACCCACACTGCTGGGACCCACACCCATGTCACTTCTGCCACACTTCCCTAGGGTTCACCCCCTTCTCAGGAGCTCCCTGAAGCCTTGCAAAGCCTTGCAACAGTGACAGAAATGAATGAGAGAGCCGGGCATGGTGGTGCACGCCTGTGATCCAGGCACTCTGGGGGGCTGAGCCAGCATCCGGTGAAGGCCTCTAGTTGTATCCTCCAGTGGCAGAAGGTGGAAAGGCAGGAAGGGCAACTCCCCCGCCAAGCTTCTCTGTAAGGTCACACTTTCCCCCTTCCCAAGGAGGTGCCTAATCACTTCTTAGAGGCCCCACCTCCTAATGCTATCACTATGGCAACCATTGAATTTTGGAAGGGAAATCACCAAACCTCCGCCAGGAGGGAGTGTGGCTGCCAGGAGACAGGCACCCGGTCCTGCTCCCCTTGTCCCCTCCCCCATGGCACCCTGCCCACCATAGAGCATTTAGAAACAAGGGCAGCAGCAGCCTTCTTCCTGGCATCCTGGGTCCTGGGCTAAGGTGAGAACCAGAGAATCTGCAGGGACAGATGATCTGGAGTCGAGGGGGGGTGGACTCTGAATGGCCCAAAGGTCAAGTATATTTGGTCATTCATTCCCCAAGCTTTGGGATGCACCGGTCTCAAGGGCCCAGTTCTCTACTCCAACTCCTCCTCCTTCTCATCCTCCTCTTCTTCCCCCTACTCCCCTCCAAGCCTTCACCACCAACACTGGTTGGAAGAGGGCCCGAGACCATGCTGACGAGGACTCAGTCTGCAGCTTGCTTCAGCAGGAAAGGGTGCCAAGAGGGATTAGTGATGTCTGCCCTGGGCACCGGCACGTGGTGGGGAGGAAGCAGAGGTCAGGAGAAAGACTGGAAACTGAACAAATGGTGGGCAGAAACACCTTGAACCCTAAAGATGGCCTCTTGGGGTATTAAAATCCTTGTGCTGAAGTCCTCTCTCCCCATATTGGAATGTGACTTTGGTAGGACACAGGGCTGTTTTCTGGTTTTGGTCCCGCACAGTGCTGGGATGAAACTGGGGCCCCCATACAGGATAAGTGTAGCACCCAGGAACTGCAGCTCAGCTCTGGGATGGGGACTTTACAGGGCCAATCGCTGAAGCCAGGCTGGTGGGGGCCTAACTGACTGGTATCCTTTTTGATTCGTTTTGTTTTCTTTTTCTTTTTGATATAGGGTCTTGCTATACAGTTCGGGCTGTCCCTGAATTTATTATGTGTCTATCTCAGACTGGTCTCTAGCTCACAACAGTCTTCCTGCCTCTGCCTCCTGAGTTCTTGGATTCCGGGCCTGCAACATCACAGCATGCTGCTACCATTATTATTGTTGTTATATCATTATATTATTAACACAGGTCTTGTTCTGTAATTTGGGTTGGCCTTAAACTTGTGGAATCCTCCTGCCTCAGCCTCTCAAGCATTAGGATTACAGGTGTGCACCACCTCACTCTGGCCCTCTGCGGGTACCTTTATAAAAAGGGTAACTCTGGACACAGCCACATAAGGCTGTGATCAGAATGACAAGCCAATTAGAGAGGCCTAAAATGCATTCTCTCACAGCCCTGCGGCTCCCTTGAGTTTGGACTGCTGGTCTCTAGAACTATGAGACAGTGAATTTCTAGGGAAGCCACTCCATATGTGGTACTTGGTAGCCACAGCCCTAGCAAATTAATCCACAAGGCAAGGTTCCTGTGCAGTGAGCATCTAGCCTGATCAATGATGGATTCCCTAGGGAAAGACCTAAAGATACCACGGGCTTCAAACTAGGACGTCTCACCCCTGCCCTGCCCTTGGGGAGTGAGCATCCCTTCTCTAGGCCCTGGCTCCCCTGGCTTTCAGGGAGGGACAGACTAGACAACCAAATGCCCAATGACCAGATGACCGAGATGACCAATGGTCACCATAGATGAGCCTTTCCAACCCTGAGAGTCCAGTATCTTGCTCAGGCCAGTGACAAGAGCTGTTGCTATTAAGTCCTGCCAATGATTGTTTTCCTCCGGTGGCTTCTGGTGCCTGATCCTGGTCTTAGGGTTCTACTACTGCATGACAGGCAAAACCAAGTCCTCTGTGAGTCAGAATCGCAGGAACATCTCAACTGTGCGACTGTCAGAGTGACCTGGGCTGCACACTCTGAAAACCCTGCTGGCACTGCAAAGGCAAGCAGAAACAACAAAACCACACCCAAGATTTGGAGGCAGATTTATTTATTGATTTAAATCAACAGGCATGGATTGGGATCATCATTCCCAAAATACCAGGCCCTGATCTCTGGTGGTTTGGGACTTACATGCGATAAGCAAGCAGGAAGTACAGAAGCAGAATGGTTTGTCAGTTGGCAAGTGCAAGGTCGTGAGTTTGATCCCTGGTACTACAAAAAATAAAAAGGAAGCCTTTACCATGACACCACTTGTGAGTCCTGCAGCCCTGTTGCTGCCTTCCCTCCAGTAGACACACATTGTCACTGCTGCGGTATTTCACTGTCACACGGGTCAGCCCTGTTCAGGGTGGGAAGGCACCACACAAGGCAAGAGCACTAGGAGCCTCAGACCACGGGGTCCCTTTGGGAAGCAGCTGGCACAAGCTGGACAACAGCTCTGTGGGAGTGGGGCTCCAGGGCCACAGGTCAGGAAGGAAGAATCTTCCTGATGAACTTGGGAAGAGCAAGAGGCTGAGGTATATGAGATACCTTCCAAGGCCACCATAACCCCAAAACCAGAGCATTTAAAAGAACAGCAGTTGGGGCTGGGGATTTAGCTCAGCAGCATAAGCACCTGGCTTGCAAGCGTGTGGTCGTGAGTTTGGTCCCTGGTATCGGTAAAAAGAACAGCAGTTGATTTCTTCCCCATCGTGGAGGTCGAAGACCCGAGTTGTTGGCCAGGCTGGTTCCTTTCTGGTAGAATCTGCTCTGTGCCATTCTCCCTGGCACTTCCGGGCTGGCAGTGGCCTCCTTCGGGTCTCTGCTTCTGTCCTCATATGGTTTTCTTCGCTCTGCATGGCATTCACATGTCTGCCACACAAGGATATTAGAGATTCTTCTTTTTTGTCTTTCGGAGACAGGGTCTCACTATGCAGTTCAGGCTGGACTAGAGCTCACTGGTCTTGAATTTGCAACAATCCTCTTGCCTCAGCCTCCCAAGTACTGGGATTACAGGTATATACCACCCACACTCAAATAAGGACATTAGATTTAGAGCCCAGCCTTCATCCAGGATGATGTGATCTCAAGACCTTAATTTAATTATGTCTTTTTTCGTGTTATAACAATAGGGGCTGGTGATTTAGCTCAGCGGCATAAGCACCTGCCTTGCAAGCAGGCAGTCGTGAGTTCCATCCCCGGTACCGATAAAAAGGAAAAAGACAAAAAAAAAAAAAAAAAAGTTTATTTAGTTTACAGTTTGGGGGTGCTGAAAGTCCAAGGTCAGTCAGTTGCTCTGCTCTGGTTTGGCTGGGGGCTAAAGGGTTAATGGTAGATGGCATCATGGTAATGTACAAGCAGAGACCACATGGAAGACAGGAAGGCAGAGCGACTGGGTAGGAGCCAGTCCTACTCCATTATAACAACCCACTCTGGCTGGGCATGGTGCCACACACCTGTAATCCCAGCACTTGGAAAGTTGAGGCAGGCATATTGCCTCAAATTCAAGGCCAATTTGTGCTACAAAGTGTCTTTAAGGGCACCCTGAACTACATATGGAGACTGTGGCTCAAAAAAAAAAGAAGAAGGAAGAAGAAAAATGTTGTAGTTTGGCATAACTGACGCCATCTTGAGCCTTGCATATAACTAGTGCCCTGTATTTGACTCAGGAGAATGGAAAGTTACGCAGGGTATAATCCCATGAGTAAAGCAGGATGAACTGTACCTACAGGAGAAAAACTAACCTGCTCAACAAAAGAAGCAGGATACAGGTGTCAATCAAAAATTAATGTAAAGGGGCTGGGGGTTTAGCTCAGCGGCATAAGCACCTGCCTTGCAGGCAGGCAGTCGTGAGTTCAATCCCCGCTACCGATAAAAATGAAAAAGACAAAAAAAAAAAAAAAAAATTAATGTAAGAGTCTAGCTAAATTGTTTCTAACAGGATGTCTTTTTTGTGGTTCTATTTTTTAAAAACTCTGTGTAACTTTCCAGTTCAGGGCCATTCAGTGAGGCTCTAAAACAGGGATCCACAAAGAGTGGACGCTAGGGGCTGGGGATTTAGCTCAGTGGCATAAGCACCTGCCTTGCAAGCAGGCAGTCGTGGGTTCAATCCCTGGTACCGATAAAAAGGAAAAAGACAAAAAAAAAAAAAAAAAGAGTGGACGTTGAGCTCAGCTCATTAAATTCCAAATTTATCAATTTGGCTGCTTAGATTCCTACATTGTTTATAAACCCTCATCAAAAAGAAAAGTAACCAAAAAAAAATCCCACTCTGATAGTAAATAACTGGATCCCCAGAGAAGCTTTCCTTTCAGAAGGCAGCACATTACCCCCAGTGGTCTAATTACCTTGCCCCAGGCCTCACCTCTCAGCTGTCCCAACACCTCCAGCCTGCTGGGACCGAGAGCTTCCAACCGCCTTGGGGGTAAAGCTAATTCACCAGCGGAGCTGCAGCAACCGCAAAGCAGGTATCCCAGTGAGGTCCCACTGCAGGTAGCAGTGAGTGGGAGCTGTAGCTGGGGAAGACTCTGCTCAGCCCCTTAGGGGAGCCTGAGGCTGGCAGCTCCATCTGCTCTGGCTCAGGCGTCAGCTCCCCCAGGGAGCCTTCTGCTCCTCTGTGACCCATCCTGATGCCTGTGCCTGCCGCCCTGTGCCCCGCCCCCCCTCCTTGTCTGCTGTTCCTCCAAACAGCAGATCCTGAGTTCCTGCTGTCTCCCAGCTACCAGTTGGCTCCCAGGGGTACAGCAGTTGCCAGATTGAAGGGACAAAAAGCCAGAAGCCTGATGAAAGGCAGATTGCAGACAAAGAGTGAGTTGAGGTCGGTGCTGAGTTTTGAACTTGCAGCCCTAACAGCAGTGCAAGAGAGATGGTCAGTCCCCAGCTGCAGAGAGCTGGGGGGCGGGGCAGTACCTTGGGAGATGCCAGAAAGTGTGCTGAAGCCAGCTATGGAAACTGGAACCTGGAGGGCAACAGGGAGGGGAGGACAGGACCAGGACCAAGACCAAGATGGGACAGAGGAAGCAGCAAGCGTCAGAGTGCAGGAAGAGCAGCCAGGAAAAGGGGCCCAGGCAGGGCAAGGCATGACGAGCCAGAGCCAGATATGCCTTGTTTGTTTTTTTCAGACGGGGTGTCACTAAGTAGTTCAGGCTGCCTTAAACTCAGTATGTTGCCCCTGGCCTCAAACTCATGACGATCTTTCTGCCTCAGCCTTCCACAATGCTGGAATTAATTTTTTGGGTTTTTTTTTTTTTTTTTTTGTCTTTTTGAAACAGGATCTCATTATGCAGTTTGGGTTGGCCTTGAGGTCATTTTGTTACACAGGCTGGTCTGGAACTTGCAATGATCCTCCTGCCTCAGTCTCCTGTACAGGATTGCTGAAATAATTATAGCTGTGAGCTATTATACCTGGCTCAGTTATGCATTTTCTCTCTTTCTTTTTCTGTGCTTTTTTTTTTTTTTTTTTTAATTGGTATGGGGGATCGAACTCACAACCGCCTGCTTGCAAGGCAGGTGCTTATGCCACTGAGCTAAATCCCCAGCCCCTGCATTTTCTTTTAGATATGCATTTTTTTTTTTTTTGTCTTTTTCATTTTTATCGGTACCAGGGATCGAACTCACGACTGCCTGCTTGCAAGGCAGGCGTTTATGCCACTGAGCTAAATCCCCAGCCCCTAGATATGCATTTTTTAAAAAACAAGAGTAGCGGGCCTGCACCGTGGTACAAGCCTGTAATCTTGGCACTTAGGAGGCTGAGACAGGAGGACTATGAGTTTAATACCAGTGTGGACTATAAAATGAGACCTCAATTGTTTTGTTTGATACCAGGGATCAAACTCACGACCTCATGCTTGCCAGGAAGGCGCTTAAGCTACCAGCCAAATTCCTGTCTTGAAAGGAAGGAAAGACAGAAGGGAGAAAGGAAAGAAGGGGAGAGGGAGGGAAGGAGGAAAGGAGGGAGAAAGGGGAGGAAAGAAGAAAGCAAAGCAAAGCAGAGGCCTGTGGTATCACAGGAGCCGAGGAAAGCGGGAGGGAGTGGGGGCCAAGTGTTGTGGGGAAGATAAGAAAGATGAAGACGGAGTTGGAGAACGACAGATGCAGTTAGCAAAATTGCTGGGGGCATCTGCAGGGGAAGGGCGAGGAAGTGGGGACAGAACCCAGACTGCAGTGTTGCCGCCAAGGAGGCAGAGTAGTAGAATGAGTGTGGGGGGCTGCTTTCCCGAAGGGAGGGAGCCAGCGGCCGGCAGAGCAGTGAGGAGCCTGTTATTTAGGGAGGCTGGTGGGGCGGGCAAGGAAGGTATCCCACAAAGGCAAGGCCATGGCCCGTGGTGGGGTCTGGCCCTGGGTGACAGCGGGAGGGGGACAGGAGGGTAGCGAATTCCATTTTAAAAAACTTTTAGTACACCTTTGCAAAACATAATGATTGTGTTCATTGTGGGGTGTCTTGCTTTTTTCATTGCTGAGACAAAATACTCATCACCCAAAGTTAACCAAGGAGAGGTTTGTCTACTTCACAGTTTGTAGAGGTTTCAGCCCCTAGTCTGCTGGCTGCAAGGCAGGTGGGATGGCAGAGCAGGGACAGTCCACAGAAGGGCAGGCAGCAGGCAGGTAGTGAAGCAGCATTAAAGATCACAGCTGTCTCAGGTCCCTACGCTCTATCCAGGCTGCATGTCTTTAGAGTGGGTAGTACACTCAGGACGGCCTTCCCCAAGGCTGTGCTAAACCAATCAATGGACAGATTTGGTAATCAAACACTCTTAATTCCAGCATCACACCCTGGATCCAGCCATCTCTGAAAAGTCCCACTTATGGCCATATGAGGTTTGGGGGGGACATCTAGACACAAGCCATAACATAGGGGATTTGTACATTTATATAATGCATCTTGATTATTATCATTATTATTATTATTATTATTGCAGTACTGGGAGTTAAATCCAGGGCCTTGCACTGAGCTGTGCCCCCAGCTCTTTTTATTTTGTATTTTCTATTTTTTTTTTTTTTTTTTTTTGAGACAAGGGTCTCACTATGTAGTTTAGGCTGACCTTGAATTCACTATGTAGACTAGGCTGGCTTTGAATTTTCCCTGCCCCCCTCCTGGCTCAGCCTCCCAGAATGTGGATATTACAGCTGTGCACCACCATGTCCAGATGTAAATTCATTCTTTTTGGAAAATCTGGGGGCTCTGGCCTGCTAGCTGCTCACACCATGAGAGAATGACCACCTTTCCCTTCAATGAGTTGTGTGCAGGCAGGATGTGGCCTGTACCTAGGCCCCGTGCCTTGTGTCTTGGCAGAGCTGGGAGAATAGGTGAGGGGCTGGATGGAGGAAAGGAAGGAGGAGCCACCTAGAAGCAGGTGGGAGGGGCTTCCCAGGGAGCTCTGGGGTCTTGGGGAGAGGGACAGCATCCCAGTCCAGATATGTCAGTGAGGAAGAGACAGAGAAGGGACCTGTCTCTCTGCAGGGGCTGAGGAGAGGAAACAAGACAGTGTAGAAAGCCCACTTATGGGGTCAGGGATTTAGCTCAGTGGCCTAAGTGCCTGCCTGGCAAGCGCAAGGTTGTGAGTTCAATCCCTGGTACCAAAAAAAAAAAAAAAACCCACACAAAACAACCACTTAATAAGGCCTGTGTTTGGCAAGGAAGGGGGCAGGAGGTCACATCCATCCAGCTCATTTTGTTCTCACAGCTGGAAGATGCTACAGATGCCCAGCAATTGTTTTGCTTCTGTTTTGCTTTTTTTTTTTTTTTTTTTTTTTTTTTGCAGTACTGAGGATTGATGTCCGGACCTTGTATGTGTTAGACAGGTGCTCTGCCACTGTGCTGCATCCCCAGCCCTGATGCTGCGGATACAGATTGCTTTTATTTTTATTTATTTATTTATTTGGAGACAGAGTCTTACTATGTAGTCCAGGCTGGCCTTGAAACTAACAGCAGTCTTCCTGCCTCAGCCTCCAGAGTGTATGCCACCACGCCTGGCTACAGATTGCTTTTAGTGGTCTCATTTTTTTTAAAATCAGTACCAGGGATCAAACTCACCACCATGCGCTTGCAAAGCAGGCGCTTATGCAGCTGAGCTAAATCCCCAGCCCCAGTGGTCTCATTTTATTTATTTATTTTATTTATTTATTGTCTTTTTTTGAGATGGGGTCTCACTAAGAAGTTCAGGCTGGCCTTGAGCTCACTTTGTAGCGCATGCTGGTCTTGAACTTGCAACAATCCTCCCACCTCAGCCTCCTGAGTACTGGGATTACAGGCGGTGTGAGCTACCATGCCCGGCTCTCATTTTATCTTTTTAAAATTTTTTTTGTAAATTTTATTTTGAGCACTTTTTTTTTTGGTCTTTTTCATTTTTATCGGTACCAGGGATTGAACTCACAACTGCCTGCTTGCAAGGCAGGTGCTTATGCCGCTGAACTAAACCCCCAGCCCCCTAAATTTTATTTTGAAAGTAGTAAAATACAACAGAACAAGACAGATAAAGCCAACTAAGATCGTACAGTGAAATTGGTACAGAACTTCACAGCAGGTTACCAGGATAACAGTAATAGGTATCACAGTATATTTTGTTATCTTTACAATAGTTGTTCTTTCAATCACATATATCAAAATAAAATGAAATACAGAACATTATAGAAGTTATCAAAACAGAATATTGAATAGAGCACTACCATTAATCAGAATAGAGCAAAACAGTAATAAAAATATTTGCCTTCAAAGAGATGGTAGAAGGAAGTCCCCCTTATTTGCTATGGTCAACCTCCCAGGAGATGCTCAGATTTCTGGTTCCCATTTGCTAAGGAGCAGACAGGAGAATTGGGGTAGGCGAAGTGGGGTTTGACTCTAGGCTGTGCACCAATAGGTTCACTTTTGCTTAGCAGGGAGGCAGGCTGGTTGCTTGGTTTCCCAGCATCCTAAGTTCCAACATGGTGCAGATCTCAGGAGATACCGGTGGTTCCCTCATTTTATAAATAAGGAAATGGAGAAACACCAGCAGAAATGCTGAACACCAGGCGTGGTAGCACAAGCCTGTAATCCCAGGAGGAGGGAGGCTGAGGTAGGAAGGCCATGCATTCAGGGCCAGCCTGAGCTACTGAGTAAGACACTGCCTCAAACAAAACAAAGCAAGGAAGGGAGACAGACAGACAGGAGAAGAACACCTTACCTAAAATCACAAAGCCAGTGAGTAGCAGAGAAGGGGTTTAAACTCCAGCTGTCTCCAGCAGGCCTGATTTCTAGACAGGCTCTGCCTAGCACCCTACTCCCGGAACCCCTGGGCAGGAGAAGAGCCCAAACTCCCAGCAGCCCCCAAGGAAAAGGGTGCTGCTTTAGGGGCAGGAATAGGGCACTGGTCCTCAAGCTTTCGGGGAAGAGAGGGCTGCATAGTGCTACTGAAAGAGATTGCTGGGCTCAACCCTAGCCACTGTCTGGTCCCCAGGAACTCTAGCAAGCCTGAGGCTGTCACTTGGGTGGTGGTCGGGGCCTGCCAGCAACAGGGGAAAATTTCAGCAGCCTGGGGGATGGTGAAACAACTGGGCACAGGATGGCCTGGTGGCTCTTACCTACACTCAAACAGCTCACCCTGAGGTTCCTACAGGGGAGGAGACAAGAAAAGTCCAAAGGGGCGCAGACTTCAGGGGAGCCTCACTCACCGCATTCCCTTGAGACACCCTGCTCTGTACTTACCGCTCTGTCCTTGAAACCTATGCCTCCTTTCCTCCTTCAAAGGCCAGCTCAGATGTCCTCTCTCCCCACCCAGGCCACTCTCCTCCTGTCCTTTGCTCCCTCTCCTGGTGCCCAGAGCAACAGTAACAGGTTTGTTCATTCATTCATTCATTCATTCATTTATTCATTCATTCATTTGCTTCAATCTGTCTTCCTTTCTCAGGCTTATCCAGTCTCATAACTCTGTTTTTTTTTGTCTTTTTATCGGTACCGGGGATCGAACTCACGACTGCCTGCTTGCAGGGCAGGCGCTTAAGCTGCTGAGCTAAATCCCCAGCCCCCCAAAAATATATATATATATTTTTTGTCTTTTTCATTTTTATCGGTACCAGGGATCGAACTCACGACCGCCTGCTTGCAAGGCAGGTGCTTACGCCACTGAGCTAAATCCCCAGCCCCCAAAAAAATATTTTTAAGAAAAATTTTAAAAATAAAAATTTGGGGGGGGGGCTGGAGATTTAGCTCAGCGGCATAAGCGCCTGCCTTGCAAGCAGGCAGTTGTGAGTTCGATCCCCGGTACTGATAAAAATGAAAAAGACAAAAAAATTTTTTTTTTTAAATAAAAAATAAAATAAAATTTTGTTTGTTTTTGACAGTGTTTTACTATGTAGTTTGGGCAGATATTGAATTTACTATGTAGCTCAAGTTGGACTTGAAAGGCCAGGGATTTAGTTTAAAAGTATAAGCACCTGCCTGGTAAGTGTGAGACCGTTAAGTTCAATTCCCAGTACAAAAATAAAAAAATGAATATGAGCTCATGGCAATCCTTGTGCCTCAGCTTTCTAAAGATTACAGGTATGTGTCACCATGCCTTGCTTAATCTAATAATTATATTTTTTATTTTTTAAATAATTTTTTTTGTCTTTTTCCTTTTTATTGGTACGGGGATCAAACTCACGACTGCCTGCTTACAAAGGCAGGCGCTTACGCGGCTGAGCTAAATCCCCAGCACTCCCCCCCCTTTTTTTTTGAGACACAGGCTGGGATGGAATTTGCAATCCTCCTGCCTCAGCCTCTCGAGTGCTGTAATTATTGCCATGCACCACCCCAGACTCACAATGTGCTTCTTGAATTTCCTTAAAGATACAAACAGGTGGGCATGGTGGTGTACACCAGTAATCCCAGCACTCCAGAGGCAGAGACAGGAGGATCCCGTGGAGTTTGAGGTCAGTCTGGACTACATAGTAAGTTCAAGGCCAGCCTGGACTACACAGAGAGACGCTGTCTTAAACAAAAAAATTTTAAAAGCATCCAATCGTGCTCCCATGGGGGTGAATGGGATTGCACTTGCTGTGCCCTCACTTGGAACGATCTCTTCCCAGATGCCCTGAACACTTTCTCCCTCAGCCCCTTCAGAACTTGGCTCAAATTCACTTCCTGCCCCCCCATCTTAGTTCCACTAACTATAAACACTCACCTTTCCTATCTTCCTTCTTTTTCTTTATAGACCCTCTACCATTTAACATACTGTTTATTACCCATTTAGCTTATTATCTGGGACAGTACCAAGTCGATGCCACCGTTAGGCTAATCACTTAAGATGGGACAATGATAAAAATCTGACGAGGTCTGAGAAGGTCAACTTCTGAAATTAATAGCTACGGTTTCACCTGCATGTCCCTGGCTGGGGAGCACTTGGAAGGTGAAAGCTCTGGCTATCCCTGGAGCTTCAAGGGTAGTCCCTGGGAGGGGTGCTTTCTACTCAGCACACACTCCCCAAGTGATTGGGGGTCGAGTTGAGGCGTCACACTCCCGGTGGTTGTTGGGATAGAGTGAAATGAATCCCACCCAGGACACCTGAAGTCTCACTCTAATAGTGGTACTTTTTTTTTTTTTTTCCTTTTTAAATCTCTTTTTATCGGTACCGGGGATCGAACTCACGACTGCCTGCTTGCAAGGCAGGCGCTTATGCCGCTGAGCTAAATCCTCAGCACAAATAGTGGTACTTTTAACAGCTCTCTTCAACAACTGCCTCTAAACAGCAAAGTTTTGTACCGCGAGGGCTTCTGGTCCTCTCTGTACTCCTGGGCTCAGGAGTACAGGTCCTCTCTGTACTCCAGTAAACGTTGCGGGAGCAACCGAATGAATGGAAGGAGAATGAATGGATAGAAGGCGGATGAAGGAGTGGTTAAAAAAGCAGTTCCCAAAGTCAAGTTCTAGAAGTTGGGAGCGCTTTCAGACTTCCTCTGTGCTCAGAGTGCTGAGAAGCCAGTATTTCAGAGGGCACACGACTTGCCTCAGTGATCGCGGCGGCCACTCACCCCAGCCACCCGCAAGTGCTGTGACTTGCAGCTGAGGTGCGCCTCTGGCCCCGTTGCTTAGCTACGAAGCCGCGTGTGGGCGGGGCTTAGATCCTTGCGTCATTCCTAGCGCGACGCCCCGCCTCGCCTCCCGCCTGTTTTTCATCTGAGACCCTCAGCAGCCCGGCTAGTGCTGCACCTGCGCGCCGTTTCCATACTTACTCTCTAGGCCCCGATCTGCGCCTGCGCGGTGCCCGCCGAGGCGCGCGGAGAGCCGCGAAGCGCATGCGCCGTGTGGGGCCTGCCGCTTTGGTGTCGCTGCCGTGGCTGCTGTAGCTGTTACCGCCTCCCTGCTGGCAAGTGTGTGAAGGAGGAGCCGAGGGTCGCCTCTGGCGCCATGGGGGTGAGTGAGGCATGAAGAGGAGATGGGAGGCCCAGGGGCGCGTTTTGTTATCCTCGCTCCCTTCGCCCTCATTGTTCCTGGAGCCCCCCTCACGTGACCTCGACCCCCTCTGACCTCACGTGACCCCTGGCCCCCTTGTGACCCGACTCCCCCATTCCAAGAAACCCCAAGTTCGGCCTAGCTCAGTTATACCAGGGAGCCGCTTCTGGGGGGGGGTGTCCCTCCCTCGGCGCCCCTCCCCCACCCTTCGTGTCGCGCCGGCCGGTTCCCGCCTCCGGGATAATCCACCGGTTCCCACGCCCCGCCTCCGCGGTCCTCGAGCTTACGCCCTGCTTCTTGGGTCACCCGTCTGCCACCGACCCTTGGTGTCCCGCCTCCAGGCCAAGCTGGTTTGGAGGGGACTGAGGCACGGGGAAAGACGGCGCCTGTCCAAGGTCACACAGGCAGAGACTGGGGCGCCAGACCCCGCTTCGGCGACCTGAATCCCAGACGGCTGTGCTGCCCTATTCCGGTGATCAGTTTTCCTACAAGCTTGAAACCTCTCTGGCAGGTTCTTTCTCCTGATCCGTAAAATCTAGCCTTCTCCAGAAGGCCTGCCTGCTTGACCCCCTGGTTGCAATGAATTGTTTCTTGTTAGGAAGTTGTTAAGTTTTAGCATTGCCTGTGGCTTTGCAAGGGGAAAACTGTGCTGGTGAGAAGGGAGAATGGGAACAGGGACTGGACGTGGACCCAACTTAAGTGGCTATGGACCGCCTTTTACTCATTTTTTTTTTTTTTTTTTTTGTCTTTTTCTTTTTTATCGGTACCAGGGATCGAACTCACAACTGCCTGCTTGCAAGGCAGGCGCTTATGCCCCTGTGCTAAATCCCCAGCCTATGGACCGCCTTTTAAGTGCTGGAAGCAGGAAGGTGTTGATATGTTTTGGGTGCCTTTTCCTGGCATGTGCAAGTAAAGGGTGGGCAGAAGCAAATCTATAGCTCTGCTCGTTTACTTTACTAAATTCCAATTTGAGAAGTACCAGTCACTCTCCTAGGAAGGTAACTGGTCTATATGTACTTGTATGTGGAATTTCCACCACCGTTAGGGAGTCCTGACTTTGAGCCAGAGATACCTGTGTTAGCTCCATCTTCACTTGCTGGCACCAGAATATTGTGCCAGTGATGTGGCCTTTCTTAAATTTCCTCCCCTATGTAACCGGAATGCGGACACCTCCCCCATAGAGTAATAGTGACTATTAAATGAGATAATGGATGTAAACAGCCAAATAGGTGCTTCCTGAATAGTGAGTGTTATTTTTTTTAAGTGGGTGTTATTTTTGTCTGTATTGTCAGCCTTCACTTAAGTGATATAAAATAGATCTGAGCCATTTTTAATTCTTGATTTGCTCCCACTGTTACAAACCTACATTTTTTTCCTATTGACTGAATAAATAAACTTGTTAGACAAAAATAATTGTCTAACCCACGTCCAAAAAACTTTAGGTAGTCTGTCAGACAAACATTCAGGGCCTGGGGCTGTAGCTCTGTGGTAGTGTGTGCCTGTGGGAAGACCTGGGTATGGTCCTGAAGACCACCCTTTCCCTAAAAAAATTAGTCATGTTTCAATCAGGAATTTTAGAGCCTGTGTACTTTATACGGAGACGTTTAAAGACGTCAGTCGTTTTTAATGTGTCTGTAATGGCCCCAGACCCCAACTGTTTCAATGAAACCTGTCTTTAGTGTCACTGAGTAACCATCTACCAGTTCAATCACTGCTGACCAAGCCCCAAACAAGAAGCATAGCATGCCATTCTGGATCAGCATTTCCTCATTGGTTGAGTTGAAATAGTGGGCCCCAGAGATAACTAAAAACCTTGCTTCTACTCGTCCCAGTCTTATTATTTGTACTTCATAGATGTATTTCTCAGAATAGCACCTACAGAGTCCCATCTTGCATAAAACAGCAGCAGAGGGGGCTGGGGATTTAGCTCAGCTGCATAAGCGTCTGCCTTGCAAGCAGGCAGTCATGAGTTCGATCCCCAATACTGGTAAAAAGGAAGAAGACAAAAAAATAAAATAAAAAAATAAAACAGCAGCAGAGTCTTGAATTATCTTTCCTGAATGAGAACTGGAACCCTGTCATTGCCCTTGTTACTCATCAGTGGGAACTATGGAGCCCCCCCCATCTAGATGGCAGAAGTCATCATCCTTAGTGGTGGCTGTCAGGCAGAGAGCCCTTCCCCTGATCTCAGGCTGAGAGCGTGGCATCAGATGCATTGCCTTCTTTCATTTTAAAGTTCTGCCATATATGTGTTGTTTTTGAGGAGTTAAAAGTAAATCTTTGTCTCCACCAAAAATAAGTTCTTAGTAATAGTACTAAGATGGGATAAAGGTGTGGACACTGAAAAATCTAAGAAATGTCAGGTTTGTGGTGTTTTTTTTTTTTTTAATTTTTGGGACAAGGTCTCACCATGTAGTCCAGGCTGGCCTTGAACGCATGATAGACCTGCCTCAGCCTCCTGAGTGCTGGGATTATAGGCATGCACTACCATGCCTGGCGTTGAGATTCTTTTTGTAAATGGTGCCTCTTTTTACTATTTCAGGCATTTTAAAAATTTTCCTTTGTGACCCCTACCAATCACTGTGGGTGGAGTTACAATTTTGACAGGAATTATAAGGGGAGGAATTTCATACATGCTCATGGAAACAACATTTAAGTTTTTAGAAGCACTGTAAGAGATGTGGAGAGTACATGAACTTTACAGTTCAAACCTAGACTGGAATCATGGATGATCCATTCAGCAGATAGGAACAGAGCTCTACTGTTTGCTGAGCACAGGATATGCATAAGCAAATAAAGCAGATACAGCCTGCTCTTGGTGGAGTCCAGAGTTCAGTGTGAGGCAGGGTGTGTGAAGACCTCTGAGAACTCCACTCACTCACTGTGACCCTAAAAGTAACTCAGCATTTCTGTGCCTCAGATCTTTCAGGAAAGAAGTGGGCATATGTATCTGGGCAGAACTGTAAAGTTCATCTTTTTGAAAACATTGGCAGTAATAGGTCCTTAAGAACAAAAATTGTGCCAGGCAAGATGGTGAAATGCCTGTAATCCCAGCACTCAGGAGGCTGAGGCAAGAGGACCACTGGGTCAGAAACCAGCCTGAACTACTATTTTCTTTTTGGTACCCGGAATTGTGCTTGCCACTGTACCTTTTTGTCCTTGCAGCATCTCTTGAGTATGGTATGGTTATCCTTGGTTCTTTTTGTTGTTGTTAGCCTTGTTTTTCAATGGATTTTGTTTTTGTTATACTGAGCTTGAACTTTATATGTATGCTAGGCAGGTGCTTTACCACTGAGCTACATTCCAGCTCTAGCTCCATTTCATGAATCAGGAAACTGAGGTTCAGAGAAATTGAATAACTTGCCCAAAAGATTTTAGGTAACTTGCCTAAAGTCACATAGCTATTAAATGAAAGAGCTGAGAATCAAATCCAGGTCTCTTGACTCAAAAGCCCATGCTCTTTTATTATATAAAGCTCCCAGGGGAAAGACACTTAGCCACAATGAGCTTTACTATTCACTGCACTTATTTCCCATTTTAATTAGGAGAGCTTTCCCATGTCCCTACAGGACAGCCTTCCCTCCAAAAGGCAGAGGCAAAGCTAATTGGAACAGTAGGAAACCACCCTCCCCTACTGCTTGCTGGGTTTGAGGGAGATTCTCCCCCCGCTGCAGCTTTCCTTCTACTACTGCCTTGTACGTGCAGTGGAAGAGCTTAAGGGGTGTGTTCATTATCTCGGTCTCAGGTCTTAGCAGCCCCAAGCGTTGTCTGAGGATTGCCTGGCTCACCAGTCCCTGCTGCATGAGTGAGCTCATAAGTCTCCAGGAGGCCCAAACTAGCCCTCCTGCTCCTCGTGCTTAGGAATTGCTTTTTGTGCTTAGAAATGAGGTACCATGCAGCATTCTGTGCTCTCTGGGTCCTGGGAGTCTTCTAGTGACTTCGATCCTCTTTTATTGTTAAAAGAACAGGCCATTGGGTTGGATGAAGGGAGCTGCCATCTGCTGTGAAGGTATGCAGGCTTCTGACCAGTCTTTAGAGCATAGCTCTTGCCATGAGCTCAGCATTTCCGTCTTCATCTTCCTGGAGATCAAGTTGCTTTCACAAGTTGTGCTAGCGTGGCAGGAGGGACACTGGCCTGGTCTGGTTGATGCCAGAGTCCACTTGACCCCATCATCCAGTCTTAGAGACTTCCTCTTCAGGGTATCCTTTTGCCCTACCTCTGCTGCACTGCAGCGGTCAGGGGCTCTGTGTTGGTAAGCTGTTAGTAGGTGGATGGGTACTGACAAGTGAGTTGCTGAGTGGATGTGTGAGGGCTTCTGAGGGCCCTCACCTTGTTTTGGCAGGATGTGAGAAGGTCTTTATTGAAAGACAGAGTGAAGGCGGATATTATGAGTGGGCTCTCCCACTGGGAGACAATGTGGGGTGGGACAAATGCTGGATCTGTGACCCAGCCCTTAGGACAGGAGCTCAGTGGGCACACATCCCTTTGAACCTCAGTTGCCTAGTGTGTGAAGGAGAGATGAGGGTCTCTGCCCTGAGAAGTGAACACATGTGTTAAAGTACATAAGAAGCTGTGACTGACTCAGTGTTGACTTGCAACTTAAACTCCCAGAGGGAGAAAAATGAAAGCTGTAAAACCTAATGGGGCAGCGCCTGCCTGGCAAGCTTGAGGGCCTGAGTTCGATTTCTAGTACAAAAACACCCCTAATGGTGACAGAGAGGGGGTGGCTTGCTCTAGGAAGCATGGCATTCAGCCAGAGGATAGTTACTAGCTGGTGCTTGTAGAGCTTGTGTCTATAAGAGCAATCCATGCAAGTTCTCTCTGTTCTGCCTCCTAGTTATTCACTACAGGAACTAAAGTGTCATTTCTTAGAAAACCAAGGGCAGCTGCCATGGTGCTGCACACCTGCAGTTGCAGTTCTCTGGGAAACTGAGGCGAGAATATTGAAGTTTGAGACCAGTCTGGGTAATTTTTAAAATTAATTTCTTTATTTATTGGTACTGGGGATTGAACTCATGGCCTTGCACTTGCCAGGCAAGCGCTTATGCCTGCTGAGCTAAATCCCCAGCCCCAGCCTGAGTAATTTAGAAACATAGTGAGACTCTGTCTCAAAATTAAAAAGGGCTGAGGATGTAGCTCAGTGGGAAAGCCCAGAGTCCAATCTCCAATACAAAAGAAAAAGAAATTGATAGAACTTATCCTTAGAAAGTTTCTAGCAGCTGGATTTTTCTCTCATGTGCATGTTAATTGCTGTGCATGCTCTTTCCTGGGGCCAGTGTCAGGGCAAAGGAAAGCTGTAATTGGGAGTTGTCAGACCTTTCTCCAGGGAGCTCCTGGAGAGGACAGTAGGGGATCACAAGAGGCTGTACCATTGACAGAAATGAAATCTACTTGCCGTTGTCTTGGGGGGCCAGTATGGGATCAGTCAGCACCTCTGCCTGTCTGTTTCTCCTTGCGAGTGAGAATGAGAACTGTCATTTATTGAGCACCTGTTGTATGAGCCTCTCAGGGTTAACACCACTCAAGAGGTATTAGAATCTTCACTTGCAGACCAGGGGAGGAGGCTCAGAGAAGGGCTGTGGTCTGCACCAGGACCTATAGAAAGAATTTGAATGAGATCTGTCAGATTCCAGAGCTTGGCTGTTTCCCTGTTACCCAGCTTTTATTTATTTATTTATTTATTTATTTTATTTTTGAGACAGGGTCTTGTTATGTAGTTCAGGCTCACTTTGTACGGCAGGCTGGTCTCAAACTTGCAAGGACCCTCCAGCCTCAGCTTCCTGAGTGCTGGGATTACAGGTGTGAGCCACCACTCCTGGCTGTTAGCTTTTTACCAGAAGGTAAGAGAGTCTGTTGAGGCTTGAGAGAACCCTAAAATAGCCTCAAAACAGTATGTGATCTAGTTACAGCTGTGGGCAACTTGCTCTTTTGCCCCTCAGTACTGGGACCTCCCTTTGCCCCACATCTGCTAAGTGTGTGCCTGGAGCTTGGTTTTCCTGACCATGTGGCAGCATTGCCTGTGGCCTGAGGTGAACCCCTTGGGGCCCTTTGGTTTGCTTTTGTTGCTAAGTGCCTGGTGTGCCTGCCATTTGTTAGCCTTGGCTGAGCAGGACTTCTGGGGGCTCTTAAGCCAGAGCACCCTGGTCCTTGTTTAGAAATGGGGCTCAGATCACATGGGGCAGCTCTTTTTGTCTCTTGTGGCTAGAAGCCACACAGAAGACTGCACAAACCTACACTGTGCTTAGGAACAGCTGTCAGTGGCTATCTTAGATGCCGGGTCTCCCTGAAAGCTGGCCAAAACGGGTCTGAAATGGGGTGTTTCTTTCTTAATGAAGGAGCAGATGAGTAAATATTTGTCACTGCTGTAGCCAGGTCTGCTGTGGGCATTGTTAGGTCTCCAGCTGAGGTCTCTGGTGATCTGGGAGCAGCAGGATCGGTCTACTTCCTGAAAGAAAGCTGAGCAATCTAGTGATACTCGGGAAGGCTCACAACATGGGGAACAGTGTCCCTGCATATTTCACGCACTGAGTGGCAGCCTGGATGGGCCAGGCCTTTGGATACGGGGCCTCTTCAGTTCCTCAAAGAGAAAATTAAGACTTCAGTAGGCCAGAACCCTTCCAGCCAGTGTTATTTTTCCCTATTGCAGAGAAAGTCAAGCAAAGCAAAGGAGAAGAAGCAGAAACGCTTGGAGGAACGGGCAGCCATGGATGCCGTCTGTGCCAAAGTGGATGCTGCCAACAGGGTGACTCTGCTTTCCAGTCCCTGCTTCTTGGATCCTCAACTTGGTTTTTAATTTGATTTCTTTTGGCTCCACCCTGTGGCAGAATTGAGACACTGCCTACCCAGGCCTCTTGTGGCTTACAGCAGAGGAAAAGTTGGGAGGAGGTGCCAGCTATTTGTCCAGGGTGTTCAGTGTGGATTTCAGCAGAAGTGGCTTCTTCTCTTACTGATAGTAGTTTTGGGGAGGAAACCTCTTAACAAAACATATGCCATTTTCTTCCATTCCTTCAGGTATTTATTGATATCCTGTGAAACACTGAAGGCTGTGTGGGGACTGAGGGATGGGGTGGCCTGCCCAGAGGGATTGCAGCTAGGGAGGAGGGCCTGTGAATTGACACCAGCTGGGTGGGCTGAGAAGTTCTAGCCATCTTTCCCGCCCCATTCCTTATCTCACTTCTCGTTATTCTTTTAGCTCACTCATCTTACAGTGTTGCACATCTATAAGGTTGTAGTTTGGGGACATGATTTTCTGTTGAGGTTCTGAGCAGGTGAAATTAGTTGAGGGCTCAAAGGGACCATGTGGCCTCTTTAGGTTAGTGGTACTAGGAGCAGGCATTATGGCCATAGACTGGTAAACTCTGTTCTCATCCTGTCAAGTGAAGCTAAACTGGACTCTCATGGACCTCCTCCTTGAGCTTCCCACATCTGTGTGATTTCATAGCTGAGGCAGATGGAGGCCCTGTGAGGACTGTTTCTGGGGCTTCCTGTCATGAGTCTTTACAGTGCCCTATTCCCAGACAGCAGGGCTCTTGGGCAGAGCCAACACTTCTGCTCACCTGTCTGTTACTCTTCTTTTCCTTCCACAGCTTGGAGACCCTCTGGAGGCTTTCCCAGTATTCAAGAAATATGACCGAAATGGGTGAGTCACATTGAACAGTCTTTATTTTTTTCTCAGTGTTTTAAAACAACATCTGTATATAATAGAGTCCAGGCCAGCCTTGACCTTGTGATCCTCCTACCTCAGACTCCTAGTGCTATACTAAGCATTCTTAATACCGTGTCCTCAGGAATTTACTTTTCCAGTGTGAACTTCAAACCCAAATTTTCTCCTACTTTATTATGAGAAAACAGAAACTGTGGCATTGTAATACACACCTGTGACCCCAGCACTTAGAAGGCAGGGATGTGCATCACCACACCAAATCTTGTTTTGGGAGCATATTGAAAGCTAAACATAAATAATATCTTTTACAACTGATAAGGTTTACCATGGCACCTGGATTGCCATTCCCTCTTCTTTTTTTCCTGTTGGCTTACAAAGTAGGAATCACATTCTGTCTTACCTGAGTTGAGTTTCTGTATTGTAATGTTTAGCTTGGGAAAATACAGGGCTTATAAGGGCTTGTGGCTCCTCTGGGTTATAGGTTGAATTGCTGCTGGGCTTCATATTAACTCTGCTTGGATAACTCACGTTTCCTAAGCCTGATTTTCTTTTCATTTTTGTGTATAGTGTTGGGGATTTTTTTTCAGATGGGATTTTTTTCAGCTGTGTAGTCCACATCGGTTTCAAACTCACCATGGAGCTCAGGCTGGCCTTGAACTGGCAGCTATCCTCCTGCCTTAGCCTCCCAAGTGCTGAGATTACACACCCTGTTTGGTACTGGGGCTTGAACCCAGGGCTGTGTGCCTACTAGCGAAGTGATATACTACCTGGCCCTTTTTATTTTGAGAGAGAGACTCATTAAGCTGTCCAAGCTGGCTTGGACTTTCTTTTTTTTTTTTTTTGTCTTTTTCATTTTTATCAGTACCAGGGATCACACCTACAACTGCCTGCTTGCAAGGCAGGCGCTTATGCCTCTGAGCTAAATCCCCAGCCCCATGGCTTGGACTTTCTGTATTCCTGCCCATGCACCACTGTTCCTGGCTAAGTGTGATTTTCTCATCTGTAAGTCTGACTATGAGACTAGCTGTGGTCGCATACCTGTAGTCTCGGCATTTGGGAGGCTGATGCAGACAGGTCAGTGCAGAGTGGTTGAAGGCTGCGTGGGCTGCATGGTTAGTTCAAGGGTGGCCGGAGACAGAGACTTGGGTTCAAACCCTAGTACTGGGAGTGGGCCAGACTTAACAATTAGGGGTTTTGTTTTGTCTTTGGTGTTGGAGATTGAGATAAGGTCCTTTGTACTAAGCTATATCCCAGATAATACCCCCCACCCTCACCCCTTTTTTAAGTGTCTTGAGACAGGATCTCACTGTGTGGTTCAGACTGCTCTTGAATTCTTTCAAGCCTAGGCCGGCCCCTAACGCATGACTCATGTCTTGGCCTGCCAGGTTCTGGGATTACAGGTGTACACCATGCCCAGCTTACATCTTTTTTTTTTTAGTTAATTTTTAATTTTGAAATAGGATCTTGGGGTCCTTCTTCTTTATCCCAATGCTAGAATTGCAGGTGTACACTACCATGCCTGGCCCATATTTACAAGGTTTTTTTTTTTTCTTTTTTGAGATAGGATCTCGCTATGCAGTTCAAACTGGCCTTGAGCTTACTGTGTAGTCCAGGCTGGTCTTGAACTTGAAATGATCCTCCTGCCTCAGCCTCCTGAGTGCTGGGATTACAGGTGTGTGTCACCACATGCAGCTCCAGATTTGCAGGGTTTTTTTCCTTTTCTTTTTGGTACCAGGGATTGAACTCACGACTGTGTACTTGCAAAGCAGGCGCTTATGCTACTGAGCTAAATCCCAGCCACCAGATTTGCATTTTTAAGGAAGAAAAAGGATATGTCTAGCACAGAAAGTAGCAGCTGTTATAAATATTTTAGTGAATAAGAGAAAAATACAGCTATATGAAGTATAAAACCCGTGGCACTCCATTTGTTTTTCATCCTGCATTTGAATTTTATAGTATCACATTCACTTGTGTATTTCTGCCTGCGGTCATACATCATACATACAGTTCCTGTAGTAGGTTTATCATTCAACTTCTAGAAAGACCTTTCACATGGCTTAGAGATCCCCTCCTGTGATCTCTCTTAGCATTTCTACATACTGCATTCCAACTGAATACCAGAATCATGGGGAAGCTCAGAAGCAGCCCTTTCCTGCCCACTAGGCTCCTTCTGTCCCTTTTTCATGATTCTTGTGGCTGTGATCCTACTTTTACATACTTAAAGAACATAAGAGGGTGGAGAAATTGTACCTGTAGACCAGCCTTTGGAGCTTTTATAGCTAAGACAGAGATACTGCAATATTTGGGCAATTCTGCTTGTTATGTGCTTGGTGCTTATAAAGAAAGATTCTTTCGGGGCAGGAGATTTTCCACTTATATGATGAGCTTGAATGGTGTGCCAGCCAGCAAGGTGACAACAGAACCCACTGGAAACATCCTCTGAGGGTGACATCAGAGGCCACTGAAGGACACTGATGCAGGAGCTTTTCAAAGGCTCAACATGGCTGACCTCATTCCTTACTGAGTGTGGTGTTACCCGCAGACTGATTTCACAAGTTGGCCCGTGAGTTTAACTGCATCTCACTGAAGTTTTCTTGAAGCAGATGCCTAAATACCTACAGCATTCCATTAGGAACAGAGTGGTAGGTTAGGCCCATCACTGTTCTGCCTTGTTTATCAGCTTAGAGTACCCATTGAGTCCTGGGAAAAAAAGAAGGTGGCACTTCCAGGGAGACTGATCTTTGAACTTTTTTTTTTCCTGTTTTTTTGAGACAGGGTCTTGCTATGTAATTCAGGGTAGCCTTGAACTCACTATGTAGCCCAGACTGGCCTTGAATTCCTGGTAGTATTCCTGGCTCAGCCTCCTCAGTGCTGGGATTACAAGTTTGTGCCACCACGCCTGGTGGGCTTTTTAAAATTTCTTTTGGTAGTGCTGTACTGGGGATTGAGCCCAGGACCTTATGCGTATAGGACAAATACTGCACCAGTGACTTACACTCCCCTCTCTGAGCTTAGTCCCTGTCCCTGAGCTGTAGTCTTGAAGAGCCTGAGGTTGATCACATGGCTGGTTCTGAAGGCAATATCGATAGATAAGGGGAAGAAGTCTTGTGGGAGCCCACAGATATTATAGAAATTGAAGCAGCAGTGTTATTCCATGGTGCAGTGGTTAGCAGTCTGGACTCTAAATTCAGAAATAGAGTGACAGCAAATACCTAAGATGCTGGGCATGGTAGTGCATGTCTGTTCCAGCACCTGGAAGGCTGAGGCAGGAGGACTGCTGCAAGTTTGAGGCCAGCCTAAGTTACTGTGTAACTCTGTTCAAGGCCAGCCTGAACTACTTGGCCAGACTCTGACTCAAACAAAAGAAAAGAATGCCGGGGCCAGGGATTTAGCTCCGTGGCTCAAGTGCTTACCTGGTGAGTACGAGGTCATGAGTTCGATCCCTGGTACAAAAAAAAAAAAAAAAAAAAGGAGTAGGAAAAGAAAATGCCAACGACCAGGAACTAAGAAACAAAAAAGGCAAAGTTTTTATAATGAAATACAAACAGGTAGAAAAAGAACAAAGAGGCGGTAGAGAAGACAGTTGATACAAGTGCCAGGTCTAGTATGGACACAGGAAAGGCAGCACGGGGCCCTGAGATTAGGGTGGGGGACAGGCAGTGACAGCTGTTACTCTCACCCCAGAAGGGTCTGTTTCTGCAGGTGGGGCTTGTCTGAGAGGTGGGGCTTTTCCTAAGCAGTAACAGCGCAGGTGCAAGTCCCATCAGACTTTTCAGGGAGCAGTGGTGGTGCCTGGAGGGAGCTGCCAGCTCCTGATGCCCGCCCTGTACTCTTCTTAGGTTGAATGTCTCCATTGAATGTAAGCGAGTGTCGGGACTGGAGCCAGCCACTGTGGACTGGGCATTTGACCTGACCAAAACGAATATGCAAAGCATGTAAGCATGGCTGGACCAAAGTGCGGCAGGGGCAGAGGGAAGCCTGGTTCACTAGCTGGCTTTCCAGCCCTCCTAGGTGTTCCTGTTCTGACTGCCCCCGAACTCCCCAGGTATGAGCAAAGTGAGTGGGGCTGGAAGGACCGAGAGAAACGGGAGGAAATGACAGATGATCGAGCTTGGTACCTTATCGCTTGGGAAAGCAGTTCTGTCCCTGTTGCCTTTTCTCACTTCCGGTTTGATGTGGAGTGCGGGGATGAAGTCCTCTACTGGTAGGAGCCTCGGCTTGGGCTGAGCTGAAAGGGGAGGGAGAATAGGTGACTGCTCCCCGTGTCTGTCTGGGCCTGTGGGCTGCCAAGGACTGCAATGTCCTCTGCTGGGCTTTGCAGCCTCTCAATGCTTCACTCTGCACTCTTACCCCTGCTTTCTTTACCCAGCTATGAAGTGCAGTTGGAAAGCAAAGTGCGGCGGAAAGGCCTGGGGAAGTTCCTCATACAGATCCTGCAGCTCATGGCCAACAGGTAAGGGCAGCTTCTGGCTTTGTTTGCGCACTCACCAGGAGAGCGGTCCACTGGCTTCAGTGAAGGGGCTGCAGAGAGGCGGTGGGGAAGATCCGTGAAGCATATGCAGTAGGCCGGCCTGTGATGGTGGGAAGCACTGAGCAGTTTGGTGCCAGGCTCTGTAGGCTGGAGGAGGGACTTGGGACCACCACTTCTGGTGAATGAGAGGAAGTGGCAGAGACAGGAGGAAGAGGACGCACTGCCTCAGCTTCTGTTTCTCTACAAGGTGCTCACTCTGTTTTCTCCCAGCACACAGATGAAGAAAGTGATGTTAACCGTGTTTAAACACAATCATGGCGCCTATCAGTTCTTTCGAGAAGCGTTGCAGTAAGGAGCTGACCTCTGGTGTGGTTTTAGGGGTGGTGGGAGGTGCCATCCCCGAGCTGTTTCCCTGGTCCTGGCCCTGGCCCTGGCCCTCATCTTGATCCCTGAGCACACAGTCAGTGGTCCCTGGGGATTCAGGATTGGCGAGATGGTATGGTAGCATCCTCTTAACGTGGCCCCCTTGCCTCCTCCCATTAGTGTAGCTATGGGAAAAGTTTTCAGGCCAGGAGGATCGCATTCCACTACTTATGTCCAACCCTTTTCTCCTGCCTGCCTTACAGATTCGAAATTGATGATTCCTCCCCCAGCATGTCTGGCTGCTGTGGGGAGGACTGTTCCTATGAGATCCTGAGCCGGAAGACCAAGTTTGGGGACAGCCAGCACACTCACATGGGTGGGCACTGTGGCAGCTGCTGTCACTGAACTCTCAGAAACATTTACAAATCAGAACTCTCTCCTAAGGCCTGTCCTGCACCCTGGTCTCACACTACCTGCAGGTGCTCTCAGAGCTGTGGTCTCCTCAGCTTTGCATGTTCCAAGTAGCATCCTGAGAGCTCTGAACCTGGAGAGGTGCGGTCTACACCACCCCTGCCCCTCTCTCCTAGAGGACAGTGCCAGGAATGAGTGCAGAGTAGGACGTGCTGCAGGAAGAATCGGAGCTCCTCCTTATCCTTACAGCAGCTGTTGCCTCACTGGGCTGTCAGGCCTCCACGTGAAGGGTCCTCAGACTCTGTGCAGCTGGATTCCAGACAGGCTTCCCCCATCCTTGCCTTGGACAAACAGAATGTTTATAGCCACCTTTGTCAGAGTCCTGGAGTCCTGATCTGGGGTCTGTGGGTCCCCAAATAGGAGAGGACTCCTAAGATCTGGGCACGGACCAAGGTTTTGGAGAAACTCAGCTCTTGCAGATGGAGCACTGTCCTGGAGACCATGCAGGCCTTTATGGCAGAGTACAGAGAAGCTCTTTCTGGCTGAGTTTTTATGGCTCCATAGTGTGGAGTTGTCTCAGGGCACTCACCAGCTCTGGGGGGAAGGCTGCCTTTCTCCAGCGCTATCAGTAGGAAGGGCTGAGAGGACCAGGGACAGGTGTGCCCAGGGGCCCACTGTGGGGACAACGGCTTCTCTGGGCATTCTCGCTCTCAGCTGAGCCTCCAGATCTCATGGGAGTAAAGAAGAGAACCTGAGGTTCTGTTCCTCTCCATTGCTCCCACACTCTTCCTCCCCAGCCTTTTGCTTCCACCCCAGATACCTCTGTTCTTAATCTTACCGGGGAGTAACATCAGGGAATCCCATTATTCCTGTACAGTTAATGCCATTTCCTGTCAACCCTTGGTGCTGATAGTTCTCTGAAGGTGGGGCGACCCTCCTACCACCGTGCCTCTTCAGAGTGCCCCCAGCCAGCAGCAGGCCCCTTTGCCTGCACTCCCCAGCCTTGCCCCTTGTGGCCTCAGTGAGGCATTGGTGCCACTATCCTGGCCCATTTGGGGCACAGCTCAGGCTGCATCAGTAATGCCTGTCACGGGGCTGGGGATTTAGCTCAGCGGCATAAGTGCCTGCCTTGCAAGCAGGCAGTCGTGAGTTCGATCTCTGGTACCGGTAAAAAGGAAAAAGACAAAAAAAAAAAAAAAAAAAAAAAAAGATACTGTGGCACAGGAATGCCTGTCAGTGTGTGGACAGCTGCTTTGCTCTCTTTGGTGTCACCCTGTGACAGCAGGCTAGAACAGAGGGAGATGAGTGAAGAGGTCTCTGAACTTACTCTCCTCCTGATCTCTAGGCCTTGTTCCTCTTTCACGAGGGAAAAACTTACACCCTTACCTAGGAGAAAGCACCCACACTTGCCCTTGGACCTCCCCGAGCTCTGCTTTAGGGGCGTTGCAAAGATTCAAGTCTTTGTGTAGTTGCTCTCATGGGGTCTGTGCCCCGACCTCTGAGCCTGCTCACCCCCACCCTCTGGCCCGATTCAGATGATTCTGGCAAAGCTCCCCAGAGTAGTCTGTGTGTCTCACCTGGATTTCCTGCCTGGCCCCCCCCTGAGCACCCTGCTTGGGTCCACCAGCCGTGGGGCTGGGCACTTCTTGGAGAGCACCGTGCAGCTTTACACTGGAATAAGTTTACCCTCACCTCACCTGCTGGCTCCAGGGTTCTCACCCTCAAGTTGGAGTTATCGGGAACAGACTGGGAGCTCCTTCCAAGAATCATGAAGCAACAGATGCATGTTCAGAAGAGCTTTTCCTTTAATCCCTGTCTCCACCTGAAAATGATAAATATTTATTGTCTTAAATCATAGATTTTTGGTACCTCCCATTCAAGGGGACCAAAAAGAACCCCCTGTGTAAATCCCATGTAAGGTGAGTTCAGTGTACATTTCCTCCTCCCAATTGTTGGACCCCTGGCACCAAGCCCATTGGTAGATGGTACTGGGTGCCATGCCTCACACCCCAGCCTTTGCGGTGGCCTCCCCGCAGGACTCTTCAGGTCACAGCCAAGTAGGGGAGTACTGATGCAGACAGCCACTCACTGGTGGCTGTTGAGCCTATTAGTGCGTCAAGCATCAGTTTTCCTCCTCCTCCTCTTCCTCCTCTGGGTCTTGGTTTTGAGAAACAGACTTTTTGTACCAGGCTTTTTTGTTACTGTGTTTGTTTAGAGCACGTTCAAAAATAATTTTTAAACACTTTTCCCCTAATTGCATCTGTCTAATTTCAGGTATTTTGTTGGTGTCAGGTGTGCATATGACTGGCTGGGAGTTGTGGCACACGTCTGTAATTTCAGCCTTTGGGGAGCTGAGGAAAATTGCTATGAGTTTGAGGCCAGCCTGGGCTACATCTTGAGACCCTGTCTCAAAAAATTGGAAAAAAAAAAAGTGTGTACACGACACACATGGTTCTTTCTAACCACCACCATCCCCTTTTAAGAGAAATTCTACAAGATAAATTTCTTGATACACATATATTTTTTTTCTTTAACCACTGATTGTCATTGTACTCAAAAGGAAAAGGCGATTGTTTTTTGCATCAGTTGTATGTCACAAATAAAAAGCACTGTGTTGAGATGCTGGGGTGCCATGCTGGAGCCTTGTGCCTGGAGGCTGCAGGGGAGCCTCTCCTGGATGATGTCCCCAGAGGTGGAGGTGCAGATCCAGTGGGTGGGGGGTTTCGCAGGAGTAAAAGGCTGGGCTCAAAGGTGTTTTTCTGTCCTTTGTTTCCTGAAGCAAGTCCCAGGCTAGCCATGGTGACATTCGGCATCTGCAGCTAAATATAAATTCCAGTGCCCATGTGTGGGGATTGAATAGGTGAACATTTCCTTCCTTTTACATGCTCAAGTTACTCATAATCTTTGACTTTTAAAAAGATTCCTCTCCCTGGGTGCGATGGCAAACACTTGCCCCAGCCCTGTTTGAGCGGTTGAAAAGAGGATCATGAGTCCGAGGCCAGTCTGGAGTGTATAGTGAGACTTTGTAAACAGCAATGGCTCAGCTGCCCACTGGGTGCTGGACACTAACTCGCCTGTCCTATAGGTGCTCATTGTGTAAAGGAAGGGGGAGGAATTGGTCCACAGGCCTAGTAAGTGGCAGAACCAAGATTCCAACCAGTGTAGGCAGAGACCTATTTTAAATAACATGCAGAAGATGGGAGGGACAGACCAGGGCCTGACCAAAGCCCCTTCGCTTGCCAAGGTGCCTCCCCAGCAGAGGCAGCACCCCCATCTCAGTGCTAGGAGCCAGGCATGGGTACATGGTGGGGCTCTAGGCAGGATGTTGGTTGTGAAGTCCGTTAATGTTTTTAGGTTTCACCTGTGCACAAGGGGAACCTGTGTTGGCTTCAGGGACCTCTGCTGTGGGGTCTGCGTTACAGTAAGATGAGGGAACATTTGCTGTACAGCAAGAGCCAGTGGGGTCACAGCACAGGACAGCTGTTAATGCAGGCCAACCCAAGAGTGGTAGAGGGAGAAATCCTGAGGAGTGGATCAGCCCATAGGCCTGAACCTCATGGTGGATGGGCCCTTTTGCTATTGGAATAGACTGGGAGGTGAATAGGTCAGGAGCCAAGTGCTAGCAGATATGGAGCTGGTTGCAATGGCCTGGGGGGTTGGCCCTGTTGCAGACCTGCTCTGGCCCAGAAGGGCATTGTTGCAATCACCCTGGAGGGTGACCTGGGCCCTGCACCTTCACCATTGTGACACAAGAGTGACACACTTAGTGATGTCCCCGCCTGCTGGGTCTCCATGCTGAGCGCTGTGGGGCAGCACATAGCCTCTGGTGGGGCTTGCAAATGATGGAGTCCTGGAGTCTCGCAGTGCCTGCTGGGTGAGTTACACAGGGCCTTCAGGCCCCGGCGTTGATAAAACGTCTGTGATGGTCCCATGACCTAAACGTTGGCTCAAAGGACACGGGAGGGTGGAGTGTGTAGAGGAGCACAGGGTGCAGGGTGGGGAGGGCTGCACAGCTGCAGAGCATTAGGGCCTTCTGGGTCTGGTGGTGAGACCTCTGCAGGGGGTCTGAAGAGGTTGGGACTAGAGGCAGGGAGAGGTCATTAGGGATTGGACTGGGGGCACAGAAGGCAGAAAGGTCTTAATCCAGGTCAGTGGCTGCGGGGGCAGACCACATTGGAGATTCGTGGTCACCTGTGAAACCAGCCTTCTACCAGGTGGGAGCCATTGCTACATGTGATATGATCTTGTCCTTACTGCAGCTGGCAGCTGGTCGTGGGTTAGAAGGAGTTGGCCACTGCAGGCTCTCAGTGGGTGGCCCCAGGCCCCAGTTCAATTCCCAAGTAGTCATGCTATTCCTTCTTGTGGCTGACAGCTGGGCCCAAGGGGGCAGCACCCCACCCACCCAGTACCAGCACCTCCCACGTTGCTCCACCCCTGACAGCTGCCTCCCAGTTATCCCTGGGCCTATGGCGCCTGGTGACAGCTGCTGTGCCCTGGGAAGAGCAAATACCCCTCCAGGATCTTGCATTCTGTGCCAGCTTGGTTTCCCAAGCCGGTGTGTGTGTGGTACTAGGGCTTGAATGCAGGGCTTTCTTTTTTTTTTTTTTGGTCTTTTTCCTTTTTATCGGTACCAGGGATCAAACTCATGACTGCCTGCTTGCAAGGCAGGTGCTTATGCTGCAGAGCTAAATCCCCAGCCCCCAGGGCTTTCACACTGAGTAACTATCTCAGCCTCACTGCCCTTTTAAAAATTTTTTTAGTTAAAGCAAGGTCTCACTGAATAGTTTAGGCTGGGCTTGAATTTGGGATCCTTTTCAGCCAGTTTTCTGGAATTACAGGAGTGTGCTACCATGCCCAGTTCCCAAGCTACCCCTTTTCTTCCACTGAAACCAGTGCTTTCTAGTTTCTCCTAGATTTTGGGCTGGATGTTTCATTAATATTCCCATTTTGCTATAGGGAAAGATAAGGTCCAGAAAGGCTAAGGGATACTCTCAGAATCACCTAGCCAGGCAATGTTAGATTTAGACCTCTCTGATCCCCACCTGAACCCTTCGGGCACTGAGCCAAGAGTGAATTTCCCAAGGAACTCTATGGAGTCTACTCAGGCTGGTTGCCTCACTTGCTGTGTCACCTGAGAGTTACTCCTTTATTTCAAGGCATCAGACATGCCCAGAAGGGCAAAAGCAGGTCCTCACCCTTCCTCCCAGTACCAGGCAGCTGGTATCTGCCTCTCAGTACTGTGCCCCTCAGCATAGCACATCTGCTCTGGGCTGCTTGCCAGTCCTGGGCAAGGCAGGGGCATGGAGCCTGGTGGCTGAGGGCAGGCCTGATGAAGATGGCTGGATATCAGAAATACTTCCAACCGAGGTGGGGGAGGGACAAAAAGGGATCCAGGTTAACTTGAGACTTGGGAACATCTCCCCAGAGAAGCTGAGGCATAGCTTGCTTTCAGGGACGCCAGGTCCATTGTCACCTTTCTGTGATGCAGCCAGGAGGGACTGAGATTTCTCTTTCAAAGCTCCTGTTTCTCAGTCGGTTGCCAGCACACCACACCCCGCCCCTTGTGTGGTGGTTGAAAGCATAGGTGTTAGGCTAGAGCATACTCAGGGTAGAGCACTTGCTTAGAGTCCCCAGCCCTGAAAAAAGGTTTTGGAGTAGACAGACTTCTCTGGCAACCTTTGGCTGAGTGACCTTGAGCAAGTCACCCAGATTTCTAGAGCTGTTCCCTCACACTCGGGCTGGAAAGTGATATCCAGGAATTGGAACTTGTGTAGAAAGCAACAGGAAACCACTGAGAGTGCTGACTAGGTCAGACATGTAGTTAGAAAAGCAAGATGGGAGAAAGGGAGAGATGGATAAAGAAGGAAGAGGTAGATAGAGAAAGATAGGGAAAAGCTGGGCATGGTGCCACAAGGCCTGTAATCCCAACACTCAAGAGGCTGATGCAGGATCGCTGAGTTCCAGGGCAGCCTGGGCTGCACAGTAAGACCCTGTCTCAATAAACCCCAAAAAGATAAAAGGAGGAAGGAGAAACAGAAGGTGGCTCCCCTGCATGGAGACTCGAATTGGAAAGCGTGTAACAGGTGAAGGGAGCTCAGTTATGAAGTTAGAGCCAAGAGTTCAGGTCCGGAACGACACAATGCCCGGTGGAAAGAACTCAGAGGAGAGGGTGAAGAGTATGAATGGAGGGAGCAGAGAACAGATTCGTCTCGAAGGCGAGATGTAACCAAAAGAACGCCCCTCAATGCCCCCACACTCAGGCAGGAGCACTTCGATTGGCTGTCTTGAAAAACGCGCCAAAACTAGCGGAGGGCGGGCCAGAGACGGGTCCTTACTTCATTTCCGAGAGACTTCCGGACTAGGCTTCCGGTCCCGCCCCGCACCGGAACTTCCGGCCTGCGCCGCCATCTTGGTGTGTTGACCTTGGGCTACGGCTGGCCGCGGTTGGTGGTCTGGTCTGTGCTGTCATGTCGTGTTTGACGCCGCTGCTGCTGAAGGGTCTGACGGGCCCGGCCCGGAGGCTCGTCGTGCCGCGTGCCCAGGTGCATTCCAAGCCACCGCGGGAGCAGCTCGGAACCATGGTGAGGACCGGGCCGAGGAGGACTCCACAGAGGCTATTCCTTGGGACTGCCCGGACTGTGCGGGCAAGGGAAAGCGTTACGTGCGTCCCCAAAGCCCCAGGATGCGGGCGGCATGCTTCCTCGCCAAGCAGCCCCGGGTTCCCTGCCTAGCGGCTCACCCTTCCCCGGGGTGCGGCGGGCGGCGAGAGCGCTGCTTATTATCTTTAGCAGGGAGAGGGCAAGAAGACCCGACAGGGTCTTGTGAATCCCACAGATGGAGGAGCGCTTGGCTTTTAGTGACAGCTCTCCACCTATTTGGAGTTTTTATAGATCTGCCTCAGTGGCAGTGCATGACCCTGAATGCAAATCTTCAGAGTCCAGGAGCCGAGCCAGAGCGCGCCGTGACTGAGGACACGGTGACACCTCCGGCGCGCCGTCTGCCCCCTGGCCCCGCTGTGAGGGAGGTAATCCTGGTTACTGAGGCTGGAGAACTGAAGTTTGAGAGAGCAGACTGCACAACTTAGCGAGGGTTTTGTCTCAAAACTAAACTGGACTGAGGATGGAGCTCAAGTGTGGGAGCTCTGGGGTTCAGTCCCCAGTACCTCCAAATGAAGAAGAGGTAGGGGGTGTAGCTTAGTGGTAAGGCCTTTGCTTAGCACCAGTGGGAGGCCCCAGATTCAGTCTGCAGTAATGCAGAAACAAAATCAAAGCAGAAAAGGAGCTCGGGCTGTAGTGCAGTGGTAGAGTACCTGCTTTGTTCACGTGACACTCTAGGTTTGATTCTTCACGCTGTAAAACAAAACAGTGATAACTACTAGCATTTTCACCTGCTTTGACTAGTGCCCCGCTAGAACTGCAGTGCTGGCCTATTCAGGCCTCTGCGTGACCCCGCGGAGACAAAGAGACGGATGGTTATCTCCTTTCCATGGTCAGGGGTCAGGGGAGTGAGATTTAGGGGCACACATAAGGGGCAAGGAAAGACTCTGCAGGCACAGCTTCTCCATCAGCTTGCTCTGTGATCTTAACTGGTACTCTGGAGCAGCCTTGGATTGGCTGTGAGAAGTCAGCCCTGGTTCCAATGGTTGGTTTTAGTGCTGGAGTGGGGAAAAGTAGGATTTTTTTGTTTTTGTTTTTGTTTTTGTGATGCTTAGGATTGAACCTAGGGCCTCCTACATGTAGACCATTGAATTACAGCCATAGACCTTTTTTAAAATTGTTATTACTGGTCCTGGGGGTTGGACCTTTCTATGAGTTATATCCCCAACCCTTCTTATTTTTTATTTTCTGGCAGGTGTTGGTAAGGTGCATGGGTGAGGCTTGAATTTAACATCTGCTCAGTCTCCTGAAGTGCTGAAGTATAGGCATGTGCCACTGCACATGGTCTTTGTTTTTTTTTTAAATTACATTTAGAAAGATTGTTTGTAACAGTACTGGGGATTGAACCCAAAATGCTTGTTCTGAGCTGCATCTCCAACCCTTTATTTTTTTGTTGGTTCTGGTTTTAGTGTGATTTTTTGTTTTGTTTTAAATTGTTTTGTTTTGGAGACAGTATCTCATTATATAGTTCAGGCTGGCCTTGAACTCATTAAGTAGCCCATGCTAGCCTTTTAACACAGTCCTCCCTCAGTCTCCCAAGAACTGGGATAACAGGTGTCTGCCACTATGCCCAGGTCCCTTTATTTTTTATTTTTGACAGAGTTGTGCTAAATTCCCTGACAGGCCTTGCTGTCTTCCTGCCTCAGCCTTGAAAGTTGTTAAAATTAGAGATATGTGCCACCATCTTCTGCAAGGGAGTTTTAATTTTTTTTATTTTTTATTTTTATTTTTTGAGACAGGGTGGTTTCACTATGCAGTTCAGGCTGATCTTGAATTTACTTTGTAAACCAGACTGTCCTCGAATGAGGTGATCCTCCTGCCTCAGCCTCCTGAGTGCTGGGATTACAAGTGTACATCACCACACCTGGCTGATGTCCCTTTCTTAGAGTGTGGGTTTTACGGTTTTGATGCTGGAGATAGAACCCAGAGCTTACGCTAGACACCTACTCTACCACATGGGTTTCCTTTAATGTGGGGATGTTGCATCATGACACCCCCAGGGGAGTACACAGACTTTGGAATGTCTGGGGGTTGCTTACACTGGGATCCTTCTTGTGCTCTGTGTAGGATGTCGTCATTGGGCTTACCTCCTGCTTCCTGTGTTTCCTTCTGCCATCGGGCTGGATCCTGTCACACCTGGAGAACTACAAGAAGCGGGAGTGAAGGGGCTGCCTTCCCTGTAACCTGACCACCCTGCCAGCCCATCCAGATCATGTCTCCTGCATTCCAGGCCGGCCTTCCTTGGATCATGTCATTTAATTCCAGTCACCTCTTCTGCAGATCATGACCTTTAATATCTTCAGGTGACATCTGGGACCACACACATCAGCCCTGGTTGGTGGGCCCCCCCCACTGTAACAATAAAGTCTATTTAAACTTGGTTCCGGGAACTCATGGTGCCTCCTGCCTGGTCTCTTGTCTCCACACGGGCCTTAGGGTGGTTCTGGGTTTTTTGGTGGGTAGAGTTAGGCCTGGCTGACTGAAGGTCCTGGCACCTGTGTAGGTCATGTGTACCTCAGCCTAACTCCTTGCATGCTTCCTGCATTTAAGTGGTTTTGGAGCCATATGGTAGTGCACACCTGTAATCCCTGCTACTTGGAAGGCTGAGGCAGGAAGATTGAAAGTTTGAGCCCAGGCTGGGCAGCTTAACAAGACTGTCTCAAGAAGTAAAAAGGGGTAGAGCTCTTGAAAAAATAAACCATGTTGACATTGGGCAGCATTTCTTCTTTTTTCTTTTTTTATTTAGAGACAGGGTCTCGCTATGCAGTTCAGGCTGGCCTTGAACTGACTGTGTAGCCCAGGTTAGCCTCAAACTCATCAGTGATCCTCCTGTCTCGGCTTCCCAAATGTTGAGATTACAGGATTGCACCACCACCACCTCGGCTTTGGGCAGCCCTTCCTGAATATATCCTCCAGCTCCCGTGGCTATGCCAAGTTCAGTGCCATATGTTTGTGTCTCTTCTGCCTTGGGCCCAGTTCTGCAGCTAGGAGCCCTTTGTGGGGCCAGGCCAGTATTATTTCTTTCTGGTGGTCTGTTAGAGGTACCAACTTCTGGTTAGGAAGTGGGGTTCTTTGTACATAATATCTTGCCTTTTTTTTTTTTTTTTCCTTTTTAAAATTTTTTTCGGGCCAGGGGTTTGGCTCAGCAGTGTAAGCACCTGCCTAGCAAGCACAAAGTTGTGAGTTCGATGTTCCGGTACCGCAAAAAAAAAAAAAATAAAATTTTTTTCATGGTGCTGGGGATTGACCTCGACCCCATTCATGCTAGGTAAGCACTCAGCACCTCAGCTCTTGGCTTTTTTTTTTTTTTTTGTCCCTATGGTGCTGGTGCTGAGGATTGAATCTAGGCCCTTTGCATAAAGTTTTACTTTTTAATTCCTAAATTGCCCAGGCTGGGCTAGAATTTGGGATTTCCCTGCCTTAGCCTCCTGAACTAGTACTGGGATTACAGGCTTGTGCTACCATACTTGGCTTGCCTCCCCTTCTTGACTGGGGAATTTGTAGCTCTTTGGTGATTTTTACTGGTGGTGTTCAGGCACTCCTGGGTGTGGCTGTGTGTGTGTAGGGCTGTACACTGAGCCAAAGCCCTCATGACCCGTTTCTGGGGGAGCAGCACCCTGACCTGCCAGCCTCCCCTGGAGGATGACATGGCCCCGCTTCTCCTTTTTGTCTTTGCTGAACATACGTAGGCCCAGGCCCCGAGGCTGCCCAGACATGGGCTGGAGCAGTGGACAAGGTGACAGGAGAGCTGAGCAGCGTGGGCTTCAGGCCCCAGATGTCTGTCACTCTGGCCAGCTCCGGTTTCCAGAAGCTGCAGATGGAGCTTGCTGTCCCCCTGGGCATCCCTGGCATTTCCATGTGGTGTCTAGGGATGGCCCTGGGGTCGGTGCAGCAAGCTCAGGCTTGTGCCTGGCTTTTCCCTGAGGGCAGGGAGGGACCCGGGGATGGAAACAGTCATGTATGCCAGGGTAGAAGCCTGGTGGGAAGAGGGAGCATTCCTGTCCAAGCTGAAGGGCTGACCCAGGGCAGGCAAGGGTGCTCCACAAGGGGCTTCCACCAGTAGGTGCCTTTCTAGTGCCATTGTCTCCAGGCAGAGGGGCAGGGTCATCCCCTCTTTCTTACTCCCTGCAGGGAGCGCACTGTGGTGGGGAGCTGGAGTGGGCCTGCCTTTACTTCTGAGGAGAGATTTTGAGCTGTCTGGCCCCAGGCTGGTTTGGGCTTGCTTTCCCCTGGCTGTGAGCACAAATTATGCACAGGTCTCAGAGCCATTGGGGTGCCTGTCACACAGCAAGGATGTGGCAGCGGAAGAAATCTCAGAGTTTCCATGGTAACTCCAAAGTCCTGCCAAGGATTTGATTACTTATCTCCCATTTTTGTGTCCCTAAACTCAAAGGCATGAGTGAGAGTGCCTTGTCCCTGGAAAATTGCTCCCTCCCAAAGCTCTGATTTGAGTCACCACCCCCGCTGTTGGGAAACCCACTGCAGCCACAGGTGACTCCTTGGACCCTGGTCTGAGGACCCAGTGAGCCCCACGGCTCCCACAGCCTATTTCCTCCTGTAGCACAGGTCTGGCAGTGTGTGTGGGTGAGGTGGGGGTGAGAGTCCCAGACAGGAAGGGAGCTCCAGTAGCCGATCCCATTTGAACACTGTCCCCAGTCAGTATGGCTACTCGGCCTGAAATCTAGTCACCTTGCACTGGCCCTCGCCCCAACCAAGTCAGGGCCTGAAACAATTCTCTATAGAAGAAACAAGCATGGGAGGCTGCTGGGAGAACACAGTGTGTAATGTGGGCACCAGTGGGCCAGAGTCTGCAGGCTCAGAGTGAGGCTGCTCAGCCACTTAGGGTAGGACACGGCTGCCCTCTAGGCTCTCTGAGCCTCTGGTTTTGGGATTACAAAATGAAGAGAATGTGGTGCAGGAAGTGTCGAAGCTGTGATCTCTGGCATTGTGAAGAGGTTATTTTACTTGGCAAAGGCAATCTTGCAAATGTGATTAAGGTTAAGGACCTGACGGGATTATCCTAGATTATCTGAAGGGGCCAGTGTGGTCACCAGCCCTGACCTGCCAGGGACCTGGCTTGTCCTTGCTGTCTTTGAGGATAGAGAAGTAGGCCAGGAGCCAAGGAATGTGGTGGCTGCTAGAAGCTGGAAAGCCCCCCCATAACCCCCACAGCCAGGAAGACTGTGGGAACCATAGTTATAGACACAACTGAATTCTGACAGCGTGGGGAGGTTCTCCCATGGGGCCTTGAGAAGGTTGCGGCCTGCCTGCCCAGTGAAACCCAGACTTCTGATTTCCAGAGCCGTAAGATAATAAATGTGCTTTAAACTACTGGGTGTGTGGTGATTTGTTTCACCCACGATAAGCAGTGCATCAGCCCTCGGCTGTGCCTGGCACCAACTGATTGGACCTTCAGCAACACCTAGCGAATGGACTAAGGCCTTCACAGGCGCATGGCCCCTAACAAGGCTGGGTTTTGATGGGGGAAACCTGCTTCATCAGCCTTGCTCCTCTGCTTGCTTCCTGCCTGCCTCAGGTGGCTTGAGTCCTGCAGGTGACTATCATAGCCCGGGCACTGCCTGCTGAGCTCTGTCGGCCTGGCCTCTGCAGCAGCCAAAGCCTCCTAGACACCAATTTTATGGGCCATGGTGGGTAAAACAGTAGCAGCTCCAGGGTCACCTGGAAGGCAGGCCGGCCCTACTCCTGCCTTGGGTGTCCACCTGCTTCCCAAGCCTGCTCTGGAGACCACTTTGGCCTGCATCTTCGACCCAGCCTTGGAGGCCATGACTTCCCGTGAGGATTACAGCTGTGGCAGTGTCGACGCCATGTCCCTGTCACCTTCGTCTGCCCCACTTGTACCTTCACCTTGGATAGAAATGATGGGATGCTCTAGGGCCAGCAGTGCTATAAACTTCCTCTGTGGCTGAGGTCTCCACAGCCCTGGGTCCCAGTGTTGTAATCAGGGGTTGCAAGGAGAGCAAGGCGATATAGGACATGTAATTTATAGTATTGTTGATAATGGTCACCCAAGGAGTCAAGTACAAAGAAAGTGCAGGAAATCTGTTCACACTAAAGACCTAGAGAATCCAGCTGAGGGCCTGGATCCCACGGCAATGTCCTGCATGAGTCCAGCTGAAGACCTAGAGCCCGTGACAGTGCCTCTCAAGAGTCCAACTGGAAGTCCAGAGCCTATGGCAAGGACTCATGCCAGTCTGTATCACAGATCTAAGTAGAAGCTAAAAAGGCTGCCAGCAGGATGAAGGATCTGTGTCAGTAGACTGAGGGTTCTGTACTGGAGCCAAGAAACAACACTCAAGGACCTGGGCTCCCCCAAAAAGTACCACAGCCATCCTCAGGGACACTGAGGTCCCACGATCCTCTGACAGTGGGAACAGCTGAGTTCATGTCAGGAAAGACACCTGGGTTGGGAATTTAGCTCAGTGGCCTAAGCACCTGCCTGGCAAGCGGAGGTTGTGAGTTTGATCCCTGGTGCCAAAAAAGAAAGAAAGAAAGAAAGAAAGAAACCTGAGAAGCTCCTCCAAGAGGACTCACAGCAGCAGGAGAACCACCAGCACCAACTGTTTCCTCTGCAGGTCTCCTTTTTTGTACAAGGGATTGAACTCACGACCTTGAGCTTGCCAGGGAGGTCTCCTTTTTATGCTGATGACAATCCTTAGGTGGGCCATCTACACTCAGCACCACACTGATTCAGTTCAGCTGGTGTTTAAATTGACTATCAGCTTTCAATCCACAGCACCCAGGATGGGCTTTGTCCTCTCTCCTGCCCCAGTTGAATCTTGTGGACATGGATGTTGGGCTCCAATACACACCCCATCAGCAGGATAGTGTGTGAGGAGGCACCTGTGACCTGCCGTTTCTATGGCTTATGCCTGTCGTTTTAGTAACTGTCACCAGCAAACAACCTGAAACCCACCCACCGGTGCTGCATTTTTTTCTTTTTTTGAGACAGGGTCTAGCCGGCGTGGTGGCTCACACCTATAATTCCAGCACTCGAGAGGCTGAGGCAGGAGGATCCTTGCAAATTCAAGACCAGCCTAGGCTACAAAGTGAGCTCAAGGCCAGCCTGACCTGCACAGGGAAACCCTGTCTCAAAAAGACAAAAACAACAATAAAAAAAAAAAACAAAAACAAAAACAAAAAACCAACAGAGACAGGGTCTCACTGTGCAGTTCAGGCTGGCCTTGAGCTCACTTTGTAGTCCAGGCTGATCTCAAATTTGCAATGATCCTCCTGCCTCAGCCTCCCGAGTGCTGGGATTACAGGAGTGCACCACCACGCCTGACTTGTAGGTAGGTTTTAGATGCTTGGGGATAGAGAATCAAAACCCTAATACAGAAAATGTAACAGGATGGGTGGAATGGGGATAAGAGAACAATTATTAACTCACAAATAAATGGGCATTGAGAAGAGCTGGCCAAAAGTTGGCCATCCTGGGGCTGGATTCAGAGCCTAAGCTTCCCATTCTGACAAAATGGGGGGGGCACCCCATTTATAGGCCCTGTGAGGGTTTGGATCAGTCAAACCCCAGGCCCAGGAGGGAGAGAGTGGGTGGCAAAGCCACACATAGACCCCTTTCACTCTCCATAGCAAGCTGTTTACTGCTCTGACCCTTAGCCCCAAACCTGGCCGTCCCACATAGATGCCTTAATCTAGGCAAGGAGGGCTTGGGCAGAGATGTCTTATATTTAAAAGCCCCGATGCCTGTCATTGGCTGTCTTTGCCCTTCATCAGGTAATACCCATTCTCCTGCTGATTGCAGCTCTCAGCAACAGATACTGATTTCATTGTTCAAACAGAAGAAAGGAATGAACTGTCTGATGGTCACAAGGCCCACTTAGAGAAGACCTTCATTTTTTTAAATTTTGAAGCAACAGACCCAAAGGCCAGGCAGTAGTCATCTGTCATGGTGCTGGGCCACAGGCTTGGTCTCTGTACCCATGCTGTGAAAAGGCCATGGCAGGCTGTGTGGGGAGCCCAGCTGCATGTGCTCCGGTACTGGCAGAACCCAATCAAAACCTTTGGTCCTGTTGCAGTGCCTGCCCTTCCCTCGAAAGGGGCCTGAATGGAGCTCAGGCTCAGCCTCCTTGAGTGGTGCAGGGCCAAGGTCACAGAAGGGTCCCTAATAGCAGCATCTTTGACACTCATGGCTTTGTCTTTTATTCTTTGGAGTTATTGGGGAATCAGACCCACTGAGCTACATCCCCAGCACCGCTTTGTAAAAGGATTGTTTTCTAACTACTAAAAGGACACGAAACCCCAAGTTATGTCCAAGAGAGACGTTTTTTCTGCTGGACCACAAACCTCAGGAATGGGGTAGGGGAGCCTCGAGGCTGAGTTCAGGACTCCCAGGAGTGTCAGCATGGTGACACCACTTCCTGTTTCCTGGCCCCATGCTCTGCCCTGCAGGTACAATTGCAGGTACCAGTGTGAGATTCTGCTTATCTCCACAGCAAACTCCAGTGAGCAGAAAACAGAATTGGCTCCAGAAGGTTTTTTTGTTTGTTTTTTTTTTTTTTTTTTTTGTCTTTTTCCTTTTTATCGGTACCAGGGATCGAACTCACAACTGCCTGCTTGCAAGGCAGGCGCTTATGCTGCTGAGCTAAATCCCCAGCCCCTACTCCAGAAGGTTTTTATCACTACCGGGACTTTTGGGAGACTAGAATTTGGAGCCCAGCGACTTTGCGGGGTGAAGCGCGAGCCGAGGAACGTGTGTATCACAGAGACCCGGCCATACAGGCCTCTGGCTGCCACAGCGCTGGGCACCTGTCAGTTTTCTAGGGCTGGGGGTATCCCGTTGCTAGGGGCGTTGCCAAGGAGGGGCTCACTTCCGGGAGGAGGGCAATTAGTAACCCGGAAGCGGTCGGCAGTGCGGCGCTGTTTAAAGATGGCGGCGGAGGAACCTCAGCAGCAGAAGCAGGAGCCGCTGGGCAGCGACTCCGAAGGTACAGACCGAGGGGCGATGTCCGTCCCGGGTTAGCGGGGGCGAGGCCTGGCAGCTGTTCCCAAGGAGGTCAGGCAGGCAGGGCAGCGGGAAAGGAGCGAAGCACGCGGACGGCCCCTTCACGCCTCCGCTGCCTCCCCTCCCCCTCACAATGGAAGGAACTGCGGCCGCCGCGACCCCCGGGCTGGCGTGGTGGCCCAGGCCCGCGGCTCTTCCCGGGCGCTCGCGGGGCGGGGCCTGGGCCGCTCCTCTCCGCGCCCGGGCTCTCGGCGCCGGCCACACTCGCGGGGCCCTGGGCCCTGGGCCCTGAGCCCGGCCGTCTCGCGCCTCGCTGTCTGGGGGAGACCGAGACCAGGCCCAGAAGGCTGCATCCTCCCCACGGCTTGGGATGCCTGGGAGGCCGGAGTCGGAGCGCTCCCGATGTCTGCGCCTGGGGCTGCGACTCCATTTCAGGTGTTTTTCTCCTTTTCTAGGAGGTTCCCATCTTGGTCTTGCTAGCTGCCTCGGCATTGTTTTTTAAACCCCTGAGACGAGTCTTTCAGAAACGCCACTTGCTCTCCTTTTTGCCCGAGTTGGGCCCTGGGGACGGAGTAGGTCACCAGGGTGGGCGAGACAGCACTGTTGTAGGTCAAGGTGTGGAGGCTTAGCAGAGTATCTGGGGTGCAGGCCCAAGAGGATTGACCTTACAGTCATTCAACACACACCCTACTCTGAGGAGGGAAACCCAGGCACCCGTGAGGGCCTTGGTAAGGATCACCTGTATTCTCATCACACCCAGTTTAATGGCACACACCTGCCATCCCAGCTCAGGAGAGGCTGGGGCAGAAAGCTTTCCAATTCATGGCCAGCCTCAGCTACATAGCAGCAAAGTCCTCGCTCAGAAAAAAACACCCCATGAGGACCAGAATTTAGGTCTCTTACTCCCTCCTCAATGTTTGCCCAGTGTAGGGTCCACAGACTTGCCCTACTCTTTGGTGATTCTAGTGGACTCTTCGGTACCATTCATAGCATGAGTACCATGCTGGTTTAGGGCGGTGATGAAGATACCAGTGTTATCCCCATTTTTCATGAGAGCTAACAGGAGTGGTGTGAAAATCACAGATTGAAATCAGGCAAATCTGAGGGGTTTTTAAAGACAGGATCATGCTAATGTCAAAGCAGTCCAGCCTCAGCCTCCTGAGTCTTGGGGTGTGTACCCCCATGCCTAGCTACTAAACTGGGTTTAACCACAACCCTTTACTGGTTTGACCTTGGGCAGGTTACTTCCCCTCTCAGTCTGTTTTTGTCATTTGCAAAATGGACGTGATTAACAGTTCCCAGGACAGCTGGAAGATGCAAGGTGCGCTCTCTAAAGCGCAGCTCATGGGATGTTCGCATTCCGCCCAGGAATCCAGCATCCATCTCCTCATCTTACTGCTCCTCAGATGACTGTGCCCCTCCCCAAAGCATTCCCAGATTGCCGGGAAGTGATGTCAGAAAGCAAAGAGGAAGGGCGTGTCAGAGCTGGGAAAACACTTTGTGGGAATAAGCACCCCTACCTTTTCTAGGCTGGGATTTGAATCCAGGTCCTACAACATGCAACATGTTATACAAATACACACTTTGTCACTGAGCTGCACCCCCAACCCTTTTCTTTTCTTTCTTTCTTTCTTTTTTTTTTTTTTTAATTTGAGACAGGGTCTCACAATATCGCCCAGGGGTGATCTCAAACTCCTGGGCTCAAGTGATCCTTCTGCCTCAGCCTCCTGAATAGCTGGAACTACAGGTGTGTCACTGCTCTTCCCTGCCCTCTCATTTTAATGATGAGAAAATAGAAGCTCTGAACAGGGAAGACCTTCAGGACTGCTCAGTGGGTGGAACAGGGTATAAGACACAAGCTTCCAGCTCCAAACCTGTGTTCCTCCTCCTGCACTATTTGGCCCTGGCCCAACTGCTTACAGTGGACATGGCCAGACCCCACAGTAACCCTCAGCTTTTTCCTTTTTTTCCTAGGTGTTAACTGTCTGGCTTATGATGAAGCTATCATGGCTCAGCAGGACCGAATTCAGCAAGAGGTGAGCTCAAAAGAGGGTAGGGGAGTCATAGCTGGCATCTGCATCTAGGGGAGGCCTGTCAGGTCTGTGGCCCATTGTCTTCTCTACTTTGGAAGCCACTCCTCCCTAAGATAATGCGACTGAGAGAGTACTGAGGGGTGGGAGGTGACTGTGACATGGGTGACCGGCCCAGTGGCATCTGGCTGTTGGGCGTGGGTCTTGCCAGAGTGTGATGCGTTCATGCCTCCTGCAGATCGCTGTGCAGAATCCGCTGGTGTCAGAGCGGCTGGAGCTCTCGGTCCTATACAAGGAGTATGCTGAGGACGACAACATCTACCAACAGAAGATCAAGGTGGGGGCCTGGCCTCGGCCCGCGGGCCTCTCTGGCAGGAACGGTGCTGGGGATGCCTGTCATTGCTAGTTCTTGAATTATGCAGGTTCTGGACTCCAAAAGACCTCAATTCAGACCCAGACTGCTACTTAGCAGCTGTCTCCTTGGCAGGTCCTTCAGCGTCTGAGCCGTGGTGCCCTCATCTGTAGAATAGGGACAGTGACAACACCTGTCTGAAAGGTGGCTGTGAAGGTGAGGGAGGCATTGCTTATGTGGCGGGGCCAGGTGCGGGCTGGGCAGGGGCTGAGCAGGCTGGTCTGGGAGGCCAGTGGGGTTGCACAGGGACAGGACTTTGTGCTTGCCAGGCAGGCGCTGTGCCGCTGAGGTGTGTCCCTGGCCTTTAATTCTGAGACATGGTCTAAGTTGCCCAGGCTGGCCCTGAACATGTGATAGTCTTGCCTCAGCCTCCTGAGCAGCTGGGATTACACATACACCCATTGCTTTTCCTCCCTTCCCCTTAAAGTCGGAGACGCTTAGACCCTTCTGCCCAGAGGAGGGCCTGCCCTCCAGTGTCTGGACAGGTAACCCAGTGATTGAAACTGGCAAGGAGGTCTGGGTGGACGAGGAGGGCACCACAGTTCAGAAGCGGCCAGATGGTGGTGGGGATTAGCTGTGTTGTCACTCCATTGTTGCAGAGAAGAATAATGAAACCCTGACTTTTACCAGCTGGCAGCTAATGCACACTTAGTGCAGGGTGTGTGTGTGTGCCCAGTGTAGAGCTCCATTTCTGTACCAGCACCCTAAGGTGAGAAACCCGTGGGTCACACAGCCCCACTGCAGCCCGTCCAGCCCCACTGTGGCCTGCTGTCTGCTCTCCCCTTTGCACAGGGCGCCTGGGATTTTCACAGTAGGGAGGGGTGAAGTCTTCCTGAATAGGTGGTGTTTGAGTTTGAACAGATTGGTAGGGGGCGCTCCCTAAGTGAGCAGTGTGTCAGGTGGGGCATGGGCTGGCTAGTGTGTGATCAGAAAACCCTGGGGAGTGGGGCGCAGTTACTGGTTACTCTCGCCGCCAGCCAGGGTGTGGACAGCCCAGGGCCCCACCGGCAGGGAGAGCTGCAGAGAAAGCAGGGAAGATGGAGTGGCCGGGAAGGGGTGGAAAGTGGGTAGGTAGCAAGGCAGGTGGGTGTGAGCCGCTAGGGGGCCGGGAGGGGGCATCAGCACCCTCAGGCGAGATGGTGCCTCCCCCTCGGGAAGGCCTGTGGGGAGCAGCTGCTGGGGTTCAGCTGGGCGGTGCCAAGGGCTGCGGGAGCCAAAACAGCTCAGGCCTGCGCTTCTGGTGAAGATCGGGACCAGCACCTTAAATCCTGACACCAGTGTCGCCGGAGCCTGAGCAGAGCTGTGTGCGCACGGCAGGCACCTGAGTGTGTGCTGTGCCACCTGCTCTGAGCAGGTGCCACACAGGGTCTGAGGAAGTGGGCAGTGGCGGCGGATAGGGAAGGGGTGGGAGAGGCAGCACACAGAGGGCAGGACAGTGGCTGTGGCAGATTGGCTTTGACCTTGGGGGCATCTGTGACCCTGGCTAGAGCAGCAGCCTCCTACAGAACAGTTCTGCTCAGAAGAGCCAGGCCACTGGGTGGCGGCTGGAGCAGAATGTGGTTTTTCTTTTTCTCCCCTGGTTTTTTTTTTTGTTGTTGTTCAGAGGATCGGGCTCAGGTCCTTGTGCTTGTTAGACAAATGCTCTGCCACCGAGCTGCCTTAGCCCTGAGTCGAGTCGCACTTTTCTTCCCTTTGGATATTAGGGAGTGAACCCAGCTTCTTCGCATGGAGCTAATCCTTGACCCTTTTTAAAATTTATTTTGAGAGTTTTACTAAATTGTCAGGCTAGGTTTGAATTTGTGGTCCTCCTGCCTCAGCCTCCCAGAATACTGAGATCATAAGCTTGTACCACCACACCCAAGGTGAATTTTTGCTTTTTACAGCAAGATCTAGCCGGGTGTTTATATGCAAGTAGTCTAAGCCAGTAGGGAGAGATGAGTTGAGGATGGGGAGCAAGGGTGATACTTACTGGACTGATGTCCTTGAGCCCAAGAGAGTGGATGGTGCAAAGCAGAGGAACAGGGCAGCAGCAGGTGGGACTGAGGGACAGAGTGGGAGGGAAGGCCGGGAAGGTGCTAGTGTAAGGGGCACAAGGTCACTGTCAGGGGTCGTCGGGGATGTCTGTGCCCCCCGGGATGGGGATGGGAGAGGCCTGTGTGTAGGCATCGTACTAAGAGCCACTGGCATGGGAAGGGGCGCCCCACGGCCGCCTTTTCTTGGTTAGACTGGATAAGCCACTCTGGTCCAGGGCACAGTCACTCGGCCATTCGCTCATGTTTTTGTTTACTGTTTCCTGTGCTGGGGACTGAACCAGGGTCTGGCGCACGCCAGGCAAGCGCTCTGCCCATTTTTAGAAGCAAGCAGCCTGGTGCTTTCTTCTGGCTGTGACTACTTGGGTCATTTTTGCAGCCAGTCTGTGTGTAATTGTGCAGCTTTCTGGGGCTTGTGAGAGCGCTGGGCGGGAGGCAGGTGACCCAGCAGCGCAGCCGGGGTCCAGGGCTGGCAGCTGGTGGCTACGGCTACCCGTGTCTAGTGTGGCCATGGAGGCCGTGCCTGGCCAGATGCCGAGGAGCTGGGTTTGGGCTTCTTCTCCACAGGACCTCCACAAAAAGTACTCCTACATCAGGAAGACCAGGCCCGACGGGAACTGCTTCTACCGTGCCTTTGGCTTCTCCCACCTGGAGGCGCTGCTGGACGACAGCAAGGAGCTGCAGCGGTGAGGGGTCGGGCGGTGCTCCTTCCCCTCTGGCTGTCCTGGGAGGCTGGTGAGCTGGGCCTCGGCCAGGCGGTGCTGGCTGAGGCGTCCTGCTGGCCTCCCATCTTCAGGTTCAAGGCCGTGTCCGCCAAGAGCAAAGAGGACTTGGTGTCGCAGGGCTTCACTGAGTTCACCATCGAGGATTTCCACAACACGGTGAGCAGCAGGGTGGGGGTGGCCTTGGGGTCCAGCCCTGCGCCCTGCCCCTGGGGTACCCCCTCACTGTGGCCTCCATTCCCTGGGCAGTTCATGGACCTGATCGAGCAGGTGGAGAAGCAGACCTCAGTAGCCGACCTGCTGGCCTCCTTCAATGACCAGAGCACCTCGGACTACCTGGTGGTGTACCTGCGGCTGCTCACATCGGGCTACCTGCAGCGCGAGAGCAAGTTCTTTGAGCACTTCATCGAGGGCGGGCGCACTGTCAAGGAGTTCTGCCAGCAGGTGCCACCGTGCTCCCTTCCCTGCCTGGGGGTGGAGTGGGGGGGCGGGGCAGGGCAGGTCTGACGTGGTCCCTGCCACAGGAGGTGGAGCCCATGTGCAAGGAGAGTGATCACATCCACATCATCGCGCTGGCCCAGGCCCTCAGCGTGTCCATCCAGGTGGAGTACATGGACCGTGGCGAGGGCGGCACCACCAACCCACACGTCTTCCCTGAGGGCTCGGAGCCCAAGGTCTACCTTCTCTACCGGCCGGGACACTACGACATCCTCTACAAATAAGGCACCTCCTGCTGCCTGCGCTCCCAGGAGCGTAGCCGTGTACAGAGGTTTTGTGGTTGTAAATGGTCATACTCACTCCCCGGCCCTGACACACACCCTCCAGGTTTTATTAAAGGGGAAGCTGGTAGCGAGCCGCCTGTGTCGTCTCCCTGCCCAGCTGCTGCTGCTGCCTGGCTGTCCCTGCCCTTTGTGGGTCCCTGATCTACCAGTCGTCCAAACTTTTCCAACGGGATCACTTTGGAGGGCACTGGGTCACCCAAGGGACCCATCCTGAGACCTGGAGTTCTGTCTTTAAGGCCTCCCCCTGCTGCCTCTGATGGTGAAGTTCTCTGGGGCCCTGCCCCAGGCCCCCACATCTGAGGTCCCTGGTATGTCTATCTCCTGGCTGTGCCCCAGCCCCTAGCTTCCTGCCCCGTGGAGTCCTGGGAATTGGGGCCTGTGAGGTTGGGGGTGTGGTTCAGTGCAGGAGGGGCGCTGGCCTCCTAGGTGAAGCCACCTGGGGGAGCAAGCCTCTTCCTCAGGTCTAGGCAGAGGGCAGGGGTCCCAGTCTCCCCCACCCGAAGGCCCCACCTGTGCCTGCTTTGCACCCCTCTGCTCGCATCTGGTCAGCGCATCTGGTCAGCTCGGCTCTGCACCGCCTGGCGTTTGCCTCCCCCACCCCCTGTCCCACACATGCAGGGCTCCTTGTGCCCTCTGGGGCAGGTCCTCAATAAATGTCAGTGCTGCTGCCCTCGCTGTCTGGCTGTGCCTCCACCCTCCTGGCTGCCGGATCACCCGTCCCGGGGCTCCAACCCACCCACCATGGGCTGGGCTCTAGGCCCCGGTAGTCAGAGCCAAGCCGGCCAGTGGGAAGAGCGCTGATCTTTATTAGGAGGCCCTGGTGCGGCGGGCACGGAAGGCAGGCAGGTTGGGGCGGGCGGGCCCAGCTGTGGGCTTCAGGCTTCTCAGAGCTGGGAGCGGGGTCCTGCAGGCCCGGAGGGATCTGGGGATAGAGCAGAGGTTGGAGGAGCTAGGGCTCCCGCGGCGCCCAGGCTGTCCCTCCACCGGAGCCCCCCTGTACAGGCAAGCACAGCGCAGGCGGCCGAGCGTGTTAGTGGCCTGGTTAGTGTCGGCGGCCCCGCAGGCCAGGCCCTGCTTACCGGTCCTGCTCAGGCTGGGCTGCGGGAGCCTCAGGCTGGAAGGCAGAGGAGCGTGAGCGCCCGCGGGCCGGGGCCTGGAGGGGGCTGGAGAGGGGCCGGGCACGGGCACGGGCACCTACCCACGGGGAAGTAGTGCGGCAGCCGCTGCCGGTAGATGGTCTCGTCCTTCTCGAGGAACACGCAGATGACCAGCCGATCCACCTGTGCCCGGGCATGGGTCAGCCTGGGTGGGGGCCCGCTGGCCCGCACCCCGTCCCACCCTGACATGGCACTCACACCGAGCCTGCGGCTCCGGCCGCCCCCGCCCCCGCCTGGCTAAACACCCGGTCTCACCTTGTCCTTGTGCTGCTCCAGCCACTCCCGCAGCGCCATCAGCACCACCTCGGCTGCCGCCTCATTGGGATACCCTGGGGCGAGGGCGGGGACGGCACCGGTGAGTTCTGGCCCCACCTGGCCCGGCCCGCCCCGCACCCCAGTCCTCCCAGGCCCCACTCACCAAACACGCCGGTGGAGATGCAGGGGAAGGCCTGCGGGGAGAAGGGGCAGGACCCTGTCACTACGCGCCCGGCTCCAGGCCCCACCTCCCCGGCACCGCCCCGCCCTGCCTCCGGCGCGCCCTCACAGCCGAGCGCAGCCGGTGCTCCAGCAGCAGGTCCAGGCTGCTCAGGTAGCAGCTGCGGAGCTCGGCGGCCTGGCTGGTGCTGGGCTCTCCGTGCGCGATGGGCCCCACCGTGTGGATGACGTCTGCGGAGGTGCGGGGTCAGAGCGCCGCTGCCTCTGTCCCCGCGCGGGCCTGTGCCGGAGGACGGGGGAGGAAAGGGGGGACGAGGGCGCCCCCTCCCCGCATGTACGTGCATGGATGGCCTGGAGCTTGAGCCCGCAGGTGCATGCGCTCCTTGCCGGAGTGTCGAAGGCGTGAAGCCTCGGCACCTGCGGTTAACAAGAGCGCCCGAGACTGCCCGGCTGCACCCCACCGTGCGTGGCCCGGTTGGGACTCACACTTGGCCGGCAGGCGGTAGCCGCCCGTGATCTTGGCCTGACCGGTCTCGCAGCTCTGCAGGGTCCGGCACTCGTCGGTCAGCAGAGGCCCGGCGGCCCGATGAATGCAGCCATCCACTGCAGGGGGAGGGGGGTGAGCCGGGGCTCTCCTCGTCCCTGACCCCGCTTGACCCAGAACGCTGAGGCCCCCGGTTGAGAACTCCCAGCCCCCAGAAGCCCCTCCTTGGGATGTAGTCGGGCGCCCGGCCACCACTCTGCCCCACTGCCCCCGCCCGGCTTCACGTCTGGGGAAACCCCGGCGCGGAGGTGCTGCAGCGCCCCTGGTACGGGCAGCGCGGGGCGGCCGGCAGGGGGCGCGCCCGGCACGCCCTGCTTTCTCCAGCAGGCCCGGCCGGGTGCGCTAAGGCTGCGCGCAGTCCTGGTCTGAGCGCCGCGCGGACCAGGGCGGACCGTCGGCCCAGGCAGCTGCCCAAGCAGCCGCACCAGGCGCTAGTGGACGGTACATTTTTTTTTTTTTAATCAGTCCCAGGGATCGAACTCACGATAAGCGCCTGCTTCCAAGGCAGGCGCTTATGCTGCTGAGCTAAATCCCCAGCCTCGTGGACGGTACATTTTTACGGACGAGGAAACTGAGGCCGCCCTCTTTACAAGGGGCAGACTGGTGAGTGGCCTGCATCTTTCCGTTCAGGGGCGGAGATGCCTTGCCCACGCCCAGGAGCCCAGGGTGGGAAACCCCAGAGCCCTGCTCCTTAACGAGCCACCTCATCAGGGCCTGTGGCTTAATTTTCCACCAGGCCCAGGCTTGTTTACCTGAGCAGGTCTCCAGAGCCGCCCTGGGGACCCAGGTGCAGATAAACACCTCTTGGGCGGATGGCTCCCCAGGCAGGCCCCTCACAGCTGCTAGACTGTCCTTTCCTCTCTCATCTGAAAAAGGGAGCCCTTTCCAGAAGCTGTGCGGGTACCGTGGGCCTGGACCAGAAGTTCTGGGGGCTCCAGCTGCCTGGTGCTGGGGTGCTGGGCCCAGGAGGGGCCAGCTTGCCCACTGCACAGAGGCGCACACCCTACTCCGAGGGCCTTCGCACAGCGCCCGGCCCCACCCTGTGGGACCCAATTAGACCTCATTTTGCAGCTTCACTTGGAGCTGGCACCAGGTGACTTCCCAGTGTGTGGAGGGAGAGAGGCCCCGGGACCATGCGCCCAGCGCCCCCAGGCTCCAGCTCTCTTCTGAAAGAATAAAAGCAGCCACAGCTGTGGGAGGTGAGGGTCTGACCCTGGCAGGGGGCAGCCATCTAGGAGTCCTGTGCTGAGCAGAGTGCTACCGGGGACCGAGGGTGGTGAGCCACAGCAGGGGCTGAATGCTGGGCAGCCTGTGTTCAAATCCTGGCCACTGCTGTGTGACCCAAGCCCAGTAGCCCTGCCCACCTCTTGGGGTTGGAAGCTTTTACTTTTGCTGAAGATGGAACCCAGAGCCTGGTGCAGGCTGGGTGGGCTCTACCACTGAGCTGTACCTGGGGCTTAATCGAGTTCATCCTTGTAAAATGCTTAAGCCAGTCCTTGTTGCTCACTGTGAGCGCATGTAGAACGGTATGTAGAACATAGAACATGCGGTATGTAGAACAGAGTAAGGGGAGCTGGGCTGCAAGTGGCCATGGGCTCCTGGCACCCACTGCCTGCAGGCTCCTGGCGCTGACCACCCTGCAGGAGGCCTTGGCCAGTGGTGGTGGGGGTGCTGCGGAAGCGGAGCTGGGTGAGCTCCGAGACTCAGGGACTTAATGTTTCCTGCAGCAGTGAACAGGCCTGCAGCCAGGCCTTTGGGGCTGACCTGGGGGCACCAGGGAGCTGAGGGAACCGGAATGCAGAGACTTGGGCTGGATGGCCCAGCCGTCTCCACACTGGCGCTAGGGCCCAGTGAGTGACCGCTCTGCAGGCACTGGGGTGGGGTTCTCTCCACACAAGGGGGTCAGGCCCCGGCCTCTGCCTTCCACAGACTGGTGTTGGCACCACAGACCCTCCTGTCCCCATAGCCTTCTGCACCCTCCCTTCTTGATGCAGGGGAGTCCCAGCTGGGTGTCTCCGCACAGCCCCAGGGGGCCACCACCTTGCCACCCCCATCTGGACTCTGGTCCCATCCTCTGACCCTGGTCTCTGGGACTGCCTGGCAGGAGGCAATAGGTCCCAGATTCACACCCTCAACACCTCCAGCTCCATCTGGCCACAAGTCAGCAGAAAACCTGGGGACTCTCCAGGGAGACTGACCCTCTTTCCCACCCCCCCAGTTCAGCTTTCTCAGTCTGTTCCCTGGGCCACCACCTGGGCAAGCAGATGCCCTCCCACCTCCTGCTTCAAGCTCCACATTCTGCTCCTGGACATCACCCATGTGGCCCACAGCCCAAGTGGCGCAAGTCAGGTCACACCCGCTGTCCTGTTTGAGCTCACATTTCCCAGGCGGTGCTGCCATTTCCTCTCCTTTACAGAAGAAGAAACTGAGGCACGGAGAGGGAGCAGGCTCAGGCAGCACAGCTGGAAGGCGGGGTCCCTCAAACTCAGTGGCCACCTCACCCTCTTTCCCCGCTCCCAGGACGGCTGGCAGTCACCTCGATTCTCCCAACCCTCTGGGAAGATTCAGTGAGCACCTAATCCCTGCCAGTGCCCGAGCTGGCTCCCGTCCTCTGGCCACATCACCCATCTGGGCCCTGATCTGTCCCAGCCGCTCCGCTTCCCAGGCCGTCCCCAAGCAGACACCTCCCACCTCCCAGCCCTGAGCTTTGAGCTCCTCTCTGGACATGGCTGTCCTCCACCCTGTGCCCTCCTGTAGAGGTAGAGCCCGAGCCTTCACTCTGGGCCTCAGCCACTCCCTGCTTGGGGACTTTGGCCTCCTGGCAATACGACAATGCCCTGTCCAGGTAGGACAGGGGCTTCAGCCACACAGCACCTTTCAAGGGCCACTGTCACTGTCTCCCCAGAGAGGGTGTGAAGGAGGGAAGTCAGGTGCCCAGGGCTCCGAGAGACCCGGGGCAGAGGCTGAAGGCAGCCAGGCTCCAGTGGGGCCACGGCCCACATGTTGGCCGCTATTTAGGGTGCTGTAATATTCATGAAGGGAAGATTAGATATTTAAATTTATTCAGCAATAAATGCATCTCAGTGGGGGAGCATTCCTCATGCTAAACAAACAAGCGAGAGCAGGGGCTAATTAATTATTTACAGGAACAGAGGAGCCTGGTGGCCTGGGGAATGAGGGGGCAGCCAGGGCTCTGGCCAGAAGGTGGCACCCTGGGCACCCTCCCCCTACCGTGTCCTGTGGGCCTGGCCCGTGGTCGGCTCTTCCAGGGTTTCTCTTCCCAGAAATCCTGGCCACGAGATGTTGGTAGCTGTGGGCAAGTGCGAGGCTCAGCACCAGGCCTCGAGGAGCTGCGGGGAGGTCAGACACAGGCCGGACCAAGGCAAAGCCCACAAGAACCCCGTTTCACAGGAGCAGAGGCAGAGATGTGGCTAAGCAAGCGGGGCGGTGGACCCTCGCCGCAGCAGCTCTCAGTCCTGCGCAGCCTTCCTGGGCCCCCTCGGTCCCCGAGCAGGGCAGAGGGTAGCCGACCTCCCCCGGGTACTGGGCTGCACAGCCTCTGAACCGAGCTTGCTGGGGCCTCGTGGCAGAGCAGCCCAGGCCTGCGGGACCCCAGGCCAGGCAGTGTCCCAGAGCGGAGCGCCCATGAGTTCTTCCACCTCATCTCTGAGCCACGTTCTTCTCCCTGGGCCTCAGTTTCCTTAGCTGTTGGACTGGGCATTCAGTAAGAGACGTCAGAGTGCCCTGTGCTCGGTTCCATTGTCGCCCCCGTTACAGACCAGGAGGCCCGGGTCAGCCTCTCCGGCTCTCAGCCCCTCTGGAGCCCCAGGGCTACGCAGGGGTCTGTGCCCCTGCCTGGGACAGCTCACAGCAGCCTGGCTCAGGCTACAGTCCAAGTTTTAGAAATGCTGAATCTGGAAGTTGAGGCGGGAAAACAGACCCCGAGAGGGCCCCAGCAGTGTCAGGCAGACACTAAGCTGCTCGTCCGCCCGAGCTCCCACCACCTGGGGCAGGTCCAGCCTGTGCTCTCCTCTCAGGCCCTGAGGGTCTTCCTCAGAACCACTGTGCCATGGCCCACTCTCTGTGGTTACTCATTCAGTCGACACACTCACAATGGCCCCAGCTCTGTGTGAGGCTTGGGCTGGGCCCAGGATGGGTGCAGAGCCCACCCTTAGCAGGCCTTGCCCCGGGGGCCAAGGTGGGTGGGCACTCCAGGGAAAAGATGGATGGAGGACAGCTCCGAGATGTGATCTGAAATTCATTACGGGGTGAGATCAGCTCCTTAAACGGGGATTTGAAAACATTAGAGCTTCATTATGTACACAACGGCAGCGCCTCGTTCATCATGCAAAAATCACTCCTGTTATTAAAACTGTGGCAGCTGCATTGGGGGCTTGGTGGCATCTTGCCTGCCGGGGGTGGGGCACGATCCCCCCACACGCTTACTGGCTTGTGCTGGGACCATGGGGCACAGCCAGAGTCCCCACAGGGACTGCACCCCATCATCCCTGTCCCCAGGGGTGGCCAACTCCAGGGGATCACAGTACCAGGGACTTGGTGCCTCGGTTTCCCCACGTGCGAAGCAGAGAGGCTCAGTGTGTGTGCTGTGGAGAGGGGTCAGGCTTGTCTGACCCCGAAGCTGCACGCCATCTGTCTGCCTTTAGCACTGGCCCCCGTGTCCAGCATGACCAGGCAGGGTGGCAAGGAGGCCACGTCACAGAACCTCGAAGTGTGGGGCAGCATGAGGCTGTCCTGGGAGCAGCGCCCTGCCCACCCGCTTGCCCACTCCATTGAGGGGGCCCTGCCCTGTGCGCTGCAGCTCTCCTGGGAGAAGACACCCCACTTGGGGCCCAGCTGGGACTGGGCAGAGGGATGGAGCTGGACAGGAAGGGGTCACGGGAATGGGCCCGGAGCAGTGGGGACAGGGAGAGCAGTGCCCCAGGGAGGAGCAAGTGCACGAACCAAAGCAGGAAGCAGGTGGGGAGGGGAAGCCACCGGAGTCTGGAGGGCTCCAGCCCTGCAGCCTGCAGCCAGGTGCCCCGCCTGGGCCTGGGCGGTCCTGACCGGCATCCGGAGCTTGTGGCCCAGGGGCCGTGGAGGCCATGTCATCTGCAGCTCAGTCAGGCTGAGCCTCCTCGGTGCAGCAGGGCAGGAGGGCGAGGGCCTCGCAGGGGCTGGGTGTCGGGAGGCCACTGATCCTTGGCTGCCTGTCCAGGAGCCAGGGAGGGTGTATGTGACGGAGAGACAGAGACGGAGAGAGGGAGTGGAGGACGAGGAGGAGGAAGAGGAGAAAAAGGAAGAGCAAAAGGTGAACTGGGTTGCAGGAGGAGAGCAGAGGGCACTGGCTGCATGCATGGCTGGGGGCCCTGGTGAGGCCTGGGACAGATGGGGCTGTGCCTGCCCTGCCCTGCATATGCCCCTTAGGAAGCCAGGAAGCACACACAAAGGAAAGTCTGACACCAAAGCGGACAGTGGCTGCTGCACCCCAGCACTGGGCACAGTGTTGGGCATGCACAGGCCCTCAGTCAGCAGAGATGGGTTTGGTCAAACAGACTGGCCAATGTGGGGAAGGTGCCGGCCAGGAGGGAGCAGCCGGTGCAAAGGCCCTGGGGCCAGGGGAGGGCAGGAGGGAAGCCTGGTCATCCGGCTTGTCCTTTGAGGACTGCAGGTCACACCTGAGGCTGCAGTAGGGCTGCAGGTGGAGGCGGGGCCTGCCCTAGGAGGGAGTGTGGCTGGGGCAGGTCCCAGGTGCCATCCTATCCAGCCTCACCCTCTCACTAGGGACCTGGAGCTGGTCCACCAGGCACTGGGCCGGCCGGAGCAGAGATGGCAGCCATGCAGGCGGAGGAAGGCGGCCCTGAATTAATCCGTCACTAAAGCCTGGCCGTGGCCAGTGCAGTCATGATTTAGATGAATAATTGAAACGCTCGGATACATTTATTATCCCTTTAGTGCAAAAGTGGCAGAGAAAGACGAGGGGTAATTGAAAAAGAGAGCACAAATCTCCCCGAGAAAGCCGAGTCCTTATCGCCGAGTAAACATTTCAGTCCTAATAAACAGGAGAGGCTTGAGGCAGGGCCCTGTCAATCCCAGGTTGATTTAGGACCCTCCTCCCTTCTTACCATACAATAGGAGAGTGTTCCTAATGTTTTTATTGAGCCCAATAAAAGGCTTTCCAGGAGGAAGTTGGGAGAGGAGTGACGGACCAGCAGCCCCTGGATATGAGGCTTCCTGTGCAGATGCCATCTCTCTGGGACCCTCTCCACCCTGCTGTACCGGCAGAACTCCTATTTAGCCTTCAGAGCCCAAATCTAATGTTCCCTTTAATAAGAAGTCTCAAAAAAAAAAAAAAGTCTCTTACCAAACTGGGGCACAGCTAAGTCCTGAGTCCCAGTGCTCAGCAGAGCCTTTCAACCCAAAGAGAGCCTGGAGTGGGGTGGGGGTGCCCCCAAGACACACTATGTTGACCCCACCCTGCATAGTGGGGGCCCAACCCTAGAATGAGGCAGGCCCAGGAGTCCTGTACCTTCAGCCCCAGAAGCCCCTGGGGCTGTCGCTGAGGTTGGGGGTGCCCCGCTTCCAGGGTGCTGCAGTCCTGTCACCCTGAAATACTGTGGCTGCCGACATGGTGGGCCGGCTACTCACTCAGTGTAGCGGCCCTAGGCTGCCAGAGGGCCGCTGGGGAGGCAGATACCAGTCGGTCTGTCTCCTCTGGGAGGCACAGTGCCCCACCCAGGGGAGGAGATGCAGGTGCGGCCATCGTGCTGGGAGATGACGGCCACCTGGAGCCAGGGCGGGGGAGCCGCTGTCACCCCAGGGACAGCACATAGGTGGGGTCAGTGGTGCATGGGGGCTGGGGGGACAGGGAGGGCCTGAGCCCTCTGAGGAGCCCTGGGCCCTGCGGGCTCCTGGGGTCTGGGCCGAGTGGGGGACACTCCCCACCCCTGCAGCCATGTTGAGGCTGGGGCCAAGGGTGCAGGGGACGCAGGTGGCAGACGCGAGGGCATCAGATACCCCACCGGTCCCTGTCCCCGCACAGTGCCCCTGCCACCTCCACCTTTCCAATCACATTAGCAGAGTGACAGCCCCAGGAGCTGCCGGAGGCGCCATAAATCTCAGGCAGCTTAAAAGGCTGGACTGGGCCCACTTCCTCTGGGTCACACTGCCCCATCCATCTCCATGTCAGCGGGTGTGGGCCTGGGCTGCCCCATACCCCAAGGCCCTAAAGGGCCCTGGGAGCCCCACAACAGCCCCCCATCCAGGGCAAGCTCACCAGGCCACCCACTGGCCACTGCCTGCCTGTTTACAACCCTGGGGGCCAGGTTTCCCCTTGTTAGGCCACCCCCACCTTCACCTGCAGTTCACTCAGTTACTCAGCAGTCACTGAGCACCTCCTGCATGCACCAGACCCAGTTATGGATAATTCAGTGTGAGCGAGGTGCTCTGAGATCACACAAGAGCAGGACAAGGGGCCGGGGCCTAGGATCCCTCTGAGAATACAGCCTCAAGTGAAGGCCTAGAAACACCCTGAGAATGTCTGCAGGAGGCCCACTCCTGGCTGGGGGCAGGCAGTGCAAAGGCCCTGAGGCACACATAGGCCTGGCCTGTTCCTGCAGCCACAAGGAGGTGGATGTGGGTAGAATCTCAGGGGGACAGAGGGGAGCCTGAGGGGCTCTGGTGGGGGACCTGGTGGGCGGTGAAGTGAGGGCCTTGAGCAGAGGAGGCTGACAAGGCCCGCGCCTGTCTGGTTCTCTACTTTCTCAAGTAGAGAAACCCCCAGCCACCCCAATCTCTGATCTGCTGAGCTTCCCCAAATGCCTCCTGCTCTCCTGCATCTGTTGGCTCTGCCTGTGCTGGGGCTCTGCCCAGGATACCCCGCCCTCCAGCAGCACAGGTAGCCTTGGGACCCAGCCTGGGGTCCCAGCTCCAGGACCTGTGACCCCACCCCCAGTCATCCTGCACCACCATGCACCACCAGTGGCATAGTGAGGCTGAGGGGGAGGGAGCAGGGCCCAGGCCCGAGGGTGCCCAGCATGCGTGTCCCCACACCCAGCTCAGGGCCCAGAGTGGTGGGGTGTGGGTGCTGCGGGTGGCAGTGGAGAAGCCCGGCCTTGGACAAGGCCTGCGGTCCGCTCCTGAGTGGGCATGACCTCCAGGGACAGCTAGAGGAGAAGGGGAGGGGGATACCTCGAGCCACAAACAGACCCCGCCCCGCGTCCTGGCAGCTCTCAGCGCACTCTTATTTATTCCTGACCCCCCTGCCCCTTTTATTTTCCCCCTTTTAAAACCTGGCCTGGGCCCCGCCACCGCCGCGGTAAACACAGCCCTGGGATTTATCCCACGGAGCATTAACCCCTGCCCCCCGGCACACCAATCATCGGCCGCTGCCTGTGTGGACAGCGGCCGCCGGGCTGGCTGGGGGCCGGGCCGGGTGGGCCCATGTGGCCGGGCTGGGCAGGCTGGCGGGGAGATGCCGGCCGCAGATGCCTCCTGCTGACCTTGGCCCCACACCGGGTAGCTGAACCCAGGGCACCTCTGACTGCCTGCTGGCCTGGTCCCCTGGGTGGCCTCCAGACAACAGCAGATGTCCCTGGGGGCTTAGTGGGCCCCAGACCTGGCTGCAGGGCCACCTTCGAGGTGACAGTCATCAGCCTCAAGGGTGGAGAAACTGAGGCCAGCTGACACAGGGCTTCTGGAGGCCACGATTGGAGGCGCAGGACTGGCTTTACCCAGCCCACCCTGACCCCAGTGCCCTGGTTATCGAGTGAGGGCAGGAGGGGCCACCCACCCCAGACGCCCGGTGCTGACGCAGCCAGGAAGCAAGGACAGAAAGCCAGGCGTGGGGGGCACAGCTGTAACCCCGGCACTCTGGGAGGCTAAAGCAGGAGGATCAAATATTTGAGCCCATGTGGACAATTTGGTGAGGAACAGAAAAGGGGCTGGGGTGTGGCTTGGTGCGAAGGCCCTGGGTTCAGTGCCCGTAACCAACCTTCCCCAAAGGAGCAGCCCAAGGAGATGGCACCGCCCTCTCTACCCTCCAAACTCAGGAAGGTCACTTACCTCCTCCGCCTCCGAGCAGGGAGCTGTTGGCTGCAAGAGACAGAGAGAGGCGGTCAGTGGGGGAGAGGCTGGGACAGGCGCCATGCAGGGAAGGGCTACAGGGCCCCCCAGCCCCTGGAGCAGGGCCAGGTAATGGGGTGGGGATAGGAGAGAGGCCAGGGCGCTTCTCCTCAGTGCTCCTAACAGCCGAGGGGCAGGGCACAGTGAGGGGGGGACCACCAGGGAGCTGCCTGTGGGGTCCAGGGCAGTGGGATGCATCCTCCTGTCCATCGTTCTTTTGGCCTGAGGCAGGGATGGGGTCCAGGAGGCGGGACCCCTGACTTGGGCTCACAACTGTGAGTGTGCAAAGCACTGTCAGGGTGAGCAGGGCTGCCCGGCGGGACAGACACACTCCTGGTGTGCCCTGTCAGGACCCACACACTGTGACTGGGGCACTGGGGCCACTCTTGCCAGAGTCCATGTAACAGTGGAGGGAGAGGACGCCCCAGCTCCGGGCCTGACCCTGGGGAGCTGACTCCGCCATGGACCAGAGGTGGCACCGCCAGCCACTGCGGGACTGAGGGTCACCTGGCTGCCCCTCCCACTGCCCACAGGGCTGCCATCCTCTTTTTTTTTTTTTTTTTTGTCTTTTTCCTTTTTATCGGTACTGGGAATCGAACTCACGACTGCCTGCTTGCAAGGCAGACGCTTATGCCGCTGCGCTAAATCCCCAGCCCCAGGGCTGCCATCCTCTTCATCAGCCCTGCCCAGCCCCCACTTCTGGTTACAGTGCCCTGTTCCCTGTGACCTCCTGGACTCACCAGGCGGATGTGGGATGCCCCAGCGCCTGGAGCTACCAGGTGGGCCTGGAGCCGGCCCCCAGGCTGGGTCTCCGGCTCAGCTCAGGGCCCTGCCCACATGAGCCCTGTGCCCTGGCTCTGCAGAGGCCGAGGACGCTGCTAAGTGGTGTCGGGTGGCTACGAGTGGCTGTTCTCCGGACCTGACAGCTCTTCGCTTGGGGAATAATTAATTCCACAGCCCGAACACCCAGGGCTGCAAGCTGCCATGTTACTTGTGAGATTAATACAAGCAGCTAATTAAGATGGAGAGGCGAGGTGCGCCCTGCGCTCCAGCGCGAGGTGGGGGCGCAGGGAGGGAGGAAGGCCACGAGGGAGGGAGGGCCCGGGGTGAGGTTCACAGTGGGGGAGCTAGCACACCGTCGGGCTCTTCCGAGGCCTTGTCTTTCCACTGACCAAGTGGGAGCCTGCCAGGCCAGGGCGGAGTGCTTCAGGAAAATCAGGGGCCTGGGGACTTAGCCTGCCTGCCAAGCGTGAGGTCCTGAGTTTGATCCTGGCACCAAAAAAAATACCCACTTATCACAGCAAGGCCCCTGGGGAGGGATGTGTCCCACTGCACAGAGGAGGAGCCCGAGGCCCAGAGAGGAGCAGGTTCAGGGCGGCGGCTGCGGCAGAGCCAGAACCGGGTCTGTCTCACCCCAAAGCCAGGCTGCAAAGAAGGCTGGGGCCCGAGGGACGCCATGGCACAGGCTGTCCAGGCCGGCAGGGCTGCGGCCGTAGGGCTGCCCTCTGCAAACCTCCCTGTCTCCCCCAGCACCTCTCTCTCTTAATTAACACCGGCTGCAAACGAGCCCTGGCTGTGCTCCAGAGGGCTGAGCGCCAAATGGCTTGGCAGGGAGCCTGGGGGCACGGGCGGGGCCCTGACCCTCCATCCGGAAGGCCCCTGTCAGACAGGGCCTTGCCTGCCCACCACGCTGGGCCCACACTGTGTGTGGTCTCGCCGGGCATGGGGAGTGGGGTGGATTGCCCCATGTCCACCTGGCCCTGGCCGTGTCCGGGGTTGGGGTGCGGTGGGGTGGGCCAGTCAGGTGGCCTTGTCTGCCAAGGTAGAAAAGGGCAGGGGGGGCCCGCACCCAGCTCAGTATGGGCCTGCTTGGAGGACCCTGTCCCTCTGTTCTCTTCTCCCAACCCACTATCCCCTGGTCCCTGTCCTCCTCTACCCAGGGACTTTGACATCTGGTGGCACAGTACCCTGGGCTGGGCGGGGCAGCCCCAGGGTGAGGGCCTGGGGGGCTGTGGGAGGACTGGGCAGGGACCCATGAGGCTGTCCCTCTGAGGGCTGCCCAGCCCTCCTGCCCAGCAGAGGACAGCTCCAGGCAGCTCTGGGCCTCCCGTTCCTTCCCATCCAGGACTGCCCTACATTCCGCTCAGACCTTGGGGCCTGTCGGCACCCCCCACCCCCATCCCCTCTCTCAGGCCCTGCACTTTGGCTGAGGCCTAAAGTCACAACTGGTCATCAGCCCTGTTCTTCAGATGCCCCCAGGGAGGGATCTGGCTGGGGACACGGGACTGACCCAGCAGGGATGGCTGTGCGAGTCCGGCTGTGTCGGCCAGTGGCCCAGTGAGGTGAGCCCTGGGCCTGGAGTCAAAGCTGGGACTCAAAATCCAGCCCTTTGGGGCTGGGGATTTAGCTCAGCGGCATAAGCGCCTGCCTTGCAAGCTGGCAGTCGTGAATTCGATCCCTGGTACCAATAAAATGGAAAAAAAAAAAAAAAAAAAAAGAAAATCCAGCCCCTCGCCAGGGTCCTAGATCTCCCCGGGCAGATGGACTTCTGGGCTCAAGCAGTCACCCTGACTCAGCCTCCTGGACAGTGAGGATTATCTGTGAGTGCCACCATGCCCAGCCTTAACACAGAGACTGAGACGCTGCAGGACCTGAGCGAGCGAGCCCTGGGACTGTCTCAGGGCTTGTGTAGGGCACTGTGCCTGCCCTGGGGGCTGTCCCTGGTCTGCTTGGCGGCCCCATACAGGTGAGGACGCCTCTGACACATCAGGGCTACACCCTGCTATACCCCGCCAGACTGCACCGGCTGGCCCTGACCCAGTCCTGTGACCTTGGGGTGCTTGGACACCAGCACTCCCAGTCCTCTGAGCGCCCCAGGGTGGTCAGGTCCCCAGGCCTGTGTCCTGGCTTCCTATGAACTGTGCTGGTCTGCTCCCTCCCCTGCTCTGCCGCTCCTGCAGTGTCCCCAGCCCTGTGACCCCGGGGCTCAGGCACTGGCTGTCCCCGCAGGCCCGTGGGCAGGGTGCAGCCTCCCTAGATTGTGCCCCAGCTCCCAACCTAGTTAGGCACTGGCAGGGGGCCACTGCCCAGGTGGTGGGGAAAGCCAGACCCACCAGCTTGGCAACTGTCACTAAAGGTCAGAGGGAGCCCAGTGACAAAGGTGGCCCTGGGTTCCTGCACAAAACTCTGAATCCAGTGCACTGTGTGCAGGGCTGTGCTGGGCACCCACACACACAGACAAATGGCACCCGTGCCCTGGCCTGGGGTCAAGACTCCCGGCTCCTGGCACAGGCACAGGGAGGGCCAGGGCCGGCCTGGGCTCAGCATCCCCGTGCAGCAGGAGAGGTCGGGAGCGGGGAGCCAGATGGGGAGGCGCATGGTGGCAGCTCTGGAGACCCCACCTCTGCCTCCTCCCAGCACCTGTGCCAGGCACGTACCTGTGAGCTCAGCGCTTTCGGAGGCTGAGTCGGGAGGACAGAAGATTTGAGTCCGGGCAACTTAGTAACTTAGAGACCCTGTCTCAAAATAAAAGGAGCTGGGTGCAGCTGGGTGCAGAGCCCTTGCCTAGCATGTGTGAGGCCTTGGGCTCAGTCCTCAGGACTACCAGAGAATGGGGAAAAGTCAAAGATGAATTTCTAGGTCTAAGTATTATAAAATATAATACAAATAATTTACCTATATACCCACAAAATCACATGATATCATTTTCAGTAGCCTGTGGAGCAGGGGCCACTGTCACAGTCTGGTCTGGGCTGGCCACACCCCAGCTGGGTGTGAGGCCTCTGGGCTCACAGGGGATGTGAGGGGAGGGGAGGGGAGGGAGAAGAGAGGGAGGGAGAGGGGAGGGAAGCTGAGGGGAGGGGAAGGGGGGCAGGGGAGGCCCTTCCCACAGAGCAGGGCCCTTCACTGCTGATCCAAGCTCCTACCCCAGCTGGGACACTCCTGGGGCTGGGCTGGAGTGCAGCTTGCCTTGCACACACTGGGCCCTCAGCTGAGCCCCGAACCACAAAATATGACACTGCTGCTGCTGCTGCTGCTGAGGATGACACTAACCAGCCCCATCTCCTAGTGAGGGGCCTGGGGAGGCCCTGTGAACAAAACAAGCAACCCCTTTTCTCTCAGGATTAGAAATGGCCCTCAAACAGCTCCAAAATTGTATCACCCCATCTTTTTCTCCTCTTTCTCTGTCCCTCCTTTGGCTACACTGCAGGTACTCAAGCCTGCCCTGTTCCCTTTGGCCCCAGGTCCTTTGCACAGGCTGGTGTCTTTGCCTAGAAGAGACCCTGTCCCTCGCCAGGAGCCAGCCCTGAGAGGGACTGCCGACCTACCCCAGGCTGGAGCAGGTCTCTGCCACAGCCGCTGCCAGGGAAACACCCCCCATACTCTGTGTCCTGTCCACAGCTCCCCAGAGCCTGGGCCACAGCAGGTGCTGGTGACGATGTACTCCAAGCACCAACAGGTGACAGATGGTGCCCGCCTCCTGCACCTGGGCTCCTACCGCCTGTGAGGCCTCAAGAGCAAGGTCCAAGGCGGGCAGCGACCACACCAGTGGACAGGGGCTACTGAATGAAGGGCAGCAGCAGGAGGCCTGGTGCCTCCCTCCCTCGCAGGAGCTGGGCGAACTCCTGCAGGTCGGAGAGGACAGGCAGTGAGCAGTGACCCAGGGAAAGCGCTGAGTAGGGCTCCGCGCCGGGGAGGCCAGGCGCCGGGCAGAGTGGTGACCTTGAGCGGGCACGGCCCTTCTGCGCCCAGGACGCCGGTGCCCCACAGCCCTCCTCCCACCCGCCCTGCCTGCCAAGCAGCTGCCGCTGGGTGTGCAGAGGGGCCTGCTCTCCCCTCCTCCGCCCCTGGGAGCCAGGCCTCAGCTCCCTGGCATCAGACAAATCTGAGCCCCGCTCCTCCAATGTGTGCCGGGATGCAGATGGCCAGGCCCTGCTGGCCTGAGACTCGCCTGGCCTGCAGTCCGAGAC